ATGAAAACAAAACAAAACTAGTTTCAAAAGGTTTGATAAGTTGAAAAAATGTTCATGTGACAAGAACAAAAAAAAAATAGAGATCTCGGAATAGTATAGGTATACCTGCTCTAGGTCATCTTCAGGTGACCTGAGACATCTGTCATTGTCACACTCTAGTTTTCGCCTTACATGTAAGCAGGTGCAACTAACACAGTGTTACTAATAATTGTTTTTAGGCAAAGGGTGCCAAGGAGATTGTCCTACTTCCTGAAGAACTAGCTGTAAATCTGCCCCCAAAAGGTCATGATCAGGGCCAGCACAAGGGTAGGGAGAAGAAAGCGCCCACCTCAGACACAATAGAAAAAGAGGCAATCCCTTGAGTAATCAAGATAAATACTATGTCAATTCAACATTTCAAAACATCAAAAATCAATGCAAGAAGATGCATGATAAACCAAACATCCAAAATACCCGGTACTATGCCAGGTCATCATTTTTTCCCTGTGGCAAAAAAGAAAAATGTGTACCCTTATATATATTTTCTTAATGTACTTTTTATATTTTTTATTATTTTTTAAATTTAATTTTATTTTTTCAGTGTTCCAAGATTCATTGTTTATGCACCACTCCCAGTGCTCCATGCAATACGTGCCTTCCTTAATACCCACCACTAGGCTCTCCCATCCCCCCATCCCCTCCCCTCCAAACCCTCAGATTGTTTCTCAGAGTCTGGTCTCTCATGCTTCTCTCCCCCTCCAATTTCCTCCAATTCACTTTTCTTTCCTTCTCCCAATGTTCTCCGTGTTATTCCTTATGCTCCACAAATAAACGAAAGCATATCATAATTGACTGTCTCTGCTTGACTTATTTCACTCAGCATAATCTCCTCCAGTCCCGTCCATGTTGATACAAAAGTTGGGTATTCATGCTTTCTGATGGAGGCGTAATACTCCATTGTGTATATGGACAATTTATCCATTTTATCCATTAATTTATCCATTTATCTAATTTATCCATTAATGTACTTTTTAAGACTGAATTTTTTTCTAGAACTCGATTTTGAAAATATTATTGAGTTTACTGCCATCAAAACCAAGAAAGTAAATTTTTAATAAATTCTGGTTTGGGGAAAAAATAAGATATTTAAACTTGAAATGTTTTCAGTTCTAATATCCTTAACTTCAAATTTTCAACATTCTTTCAATTATTTTAATGTTCTGGGGAAAGCACATTGTAGGTAGTCAAGAAATATTCCTTGAATGAATGGATCTTTATAGGATTGGAGAATGATGGAGTTTTTATTTTGAGTCCCTTTTCTCCCTCTAGTAGAGGCACTGGAGGTGGCAGGGGAAAGGACCATACCAAAGGTAGCTTGATGTTTAGAGTAAGAAAAATTCTTGCTGTGGAGGCTACAGCCTTTACTTACCTTAGAAATATAGAGTTCCTGGGGCGTCTGGGTGACTCAGTGGGCTAAGCCTCTGCCTTCAGCTCAGGTCATGATCTTGGGGTCCTGGGATCAAGCCCCACATCGGGCTCTCTGCTCAGCAGGGAGCCTGCTTCCCCCTCTCTCTGCCTGCCTCTCTACCTACTTGTGATCTCTGTCTGTCAAATTAATAAATAAAATCTAAAAAAAAAAAATCATCCGACTCTTGGTTTCAGCTCAAGTCATGATCTCAGGGTCATGAGATTGAGCCCCAAGTCAGGCTCTGTGGTGAGTGTGGAGCTTGCTTAAGATTCTCTGCCTTTCTCTGCCCCTCCCCCTACTTTGTCTCTCTCTAAAAAAATAAAAAACAAATTAAAAATGAGAGCACATGTCCCCTTAAATATATATAGAAAGAGATATAGATATAGATATAATTATATGGTTCCTTAAGGCGACTTAATGACCCACACGTAACATCATCATAAAGACAAGCCTTTGTGTAAGTCTTCTATCATGAAGAAGTTTAAGCATCACAAATTTATAGATCCTGATAGCTAAGAGAAAATGAAGACCCCGATCCTTCTTTTCGTATGTTCCAAATTGTTGCAATTAAATACAAGATGTTGATAATCCATTGGTTACTCTATTAGTTAGTAACCACTGCAAAGAATACTTCAGAGTAAACCACTCTTGAAACTCGCTACCTTAAAACAGGGATACTTGATTGCCGCTCCTGGGTCTCTGAGTTGGCTGGGCTGGGCAGGTGGGCCATACTAGCTGGGCTTGCTCACCTGACTGCGGTCAGCTGTAGGTCCAACAGGTTGCTGACAGAGGATAGCCTCAGCTGGTACAATGGGATGACCTAGCTGTCCTCCATGTTTCTCACACCCCTCCGGCAGGTTAGCTGGGTAGGGTCTCAGGGTGGAGGCAGGGATGTGAGGGCAAGTAAAATTAACCTTGTAAAGGGCAAGAAGGCCTGCACACCCAGTTGTGAAATCCTGTCTTTGAGTCATTCTACTAACCAAAGCACGTCTCAAGGCCAAGCCTGAGTGAGAACAATAAGAGGTCACAAAGTGTCAGGGAAGGGGTGTAGAGAGATGGAAGTCCCCTCTTGAGGCCACCGATGCAATCAATCTACCACAACTTGTGACGGGTAGGAGCCATGCCATCTCTTGTCACCATTCCTTAGAACTGTGGCTTCGTACTGAACTCTCTGCACAAGCAAAACACTGAGAACCAAGCTATCATAAGTGAACTCGTGGGTCAGCTTCCCTCTCAAGCTGTGGCTGCCACAAATAACAGATTGAGCCTCCATCAACCAAGTGTAATGTTGTCCTCCAACTCCTATCTAACCCAGGATCATTACTGAGCTAACTGAATCCATCTTATGTGGTAAGCTGACTCATAGTAAATATTTTGTCTTTCCTCTGTATCCCCAAACTAAGAATTCCTGGGGTCAAAGGAAGAAAAGGAGAAAGAGATCACAGGGTCTTGAAGAGGAGCTCTGTGGTCAAGAACTCACAGCCTAGCTCAGTCACCGATGGCTGTGTGATTCTGGGAAAGTTACCTAACCTCTCTGAGCCTCAGTTTCCTCATCCTCAAAATGAAGAGTAATCTTTCATTTACTCATTCATTCAACATATTTATGAAGAATTTCCTAGATACAATTACCTGTACTTGTAGAGCTCACAGTCTACACTGAAGATGCCTAAGAAAAAGAGAAGTTATAATACAGGGTTAGAAAGCATGAAGCCCTAGGGACACACACAGGGACATCTAATGCTACTTCAGGAGATTCAAGGAATGCTTCCTGGTGGAAGTGATGACTGGTACTCAAGAAAAGGTAAAAATTAGTTGGCTTTTGAGGAAGGTATCCTAGGAGGAGGGAATGTCCAAAAGTCAAGAAGATATTTTCCTTTCTGGTTTTAAAGACAAGTTCTGGGGGCACCTGGGTGGCTCACTGGGTTAAAGACAAGTTCTGATTCAAATAAGAAAGGCAAGATAAATTTTGTTCCTGAGTTTCTTTTTTTAATTTTAACACAAGGAAGCAAGAGACTTTATTTATTGACTTTAATTCTTTTGCACGCCAAGATATTTGGATTATAACCAGCAGGAGGATACATTTTAGACTTTAATTCTCTCTAGAATTTGATAACAGGTGGGGCAAGTATTTCACTAAGTTGAACTGTCCTAGCAAGACTGGGCTTTATATTTTGGCCACCATTCTATCTTTTTAAAATTGCACTTCAATTTACTAAGGAGTCCAATAATGATCGGCCAATCCTCTATTTGAAAGACGTGATCAGTTGTAATACTTGTGATCACCTTGGGCTGTGTGGTTGGGCAGTGAATAGGCTGGGTCTGTCCTACCTTGGTGAGGGTAACTGGACCTGACAGAGTGAAGGAGGAAGAAGCTGGCCAAAGGGAAATCTGAATTGAACTTCTCTCTGTTAGACATTTCTGCCAGGATATGAACTTCTGGAGCAAAATCACATGGAGAGATTTTGTTTAATGTGACAATATACTGGGCAGAGACAAAGTATAATCTCTACAGGATACAGCAAGAACGGAGCAAGAACCCAGAAGGCTCCCACAAACTATATTAATTGTATTCCTCTTATTCTGTCACAGTCCTAGGAATGTTAAGAGATCCTTTGTGACCATAGCAGACTAGAAAAAATATTTTTAAAAAATTAAATTAAAATTTAAAAAATTAAATTAATTTAAAAAATTAAAAATTATGTCTCAAAACAAAAACAAAAACAAAACAAAACAAAAAACCAAAATAAAGACAAGCTCTGCTACCAGCATGGCAAACAGAAGAATATTCCAGAAGATTCTAGAACATTCATTCCTGTGTACAGCACAAATCTCCTGGGGCTCTCATAAAAATTCAAGTTCTGGTTCAGCCATTATGGGGTGGGGCCTGAGATCCTACTTTCCTAACAAGGTGATGCTGATACTTCTGGTCTATGGACCACACTTTGAGTAGGAAGATAGAAGGGAAGATATATACATTTTATTGTTCCAATTTTAGTATATGTGCTGCCAAAGCAAGCACAGAGCATATCTTCATTTTAAAGTTTCATCTCCCTCTACTCTCCCTGGCAATCAAGATTTTATGCAGGATGGAGGGCCAGGTGGGATGGTGATAACTTTGTGAGCAGTGTGAATCTTAGCCAAGTCCTAAGAGAATTTCTGGAAGGAAGAGAGATGTTGTTTCCCTGAAAGTTCCCAGGAAACCAAAACACTTTCCAAAGGGTGTAGTTGTCAAGTATGGCCAGTCTCCATGAAATGCTGGGATTCTGCTCCATCCAGCACTCCTACTCATCCACATAACTGTTTTTTTACTATTATTTTTTTATTTGTCAGAGAGAGAGAGAGAGCACAAGCAAGCAGAGTGGCAGGCAGAGGCAGAGAGAGAAGAAGGCTCCCCGCTGAGCAAGGAGCCCAATGCGGGACTTGATCCCAGGACCCCAGGATCATGACCTGAGCCGAAGGCAGCCGCTTAACCAACTGAGCCATCCAGGAGTCCCCCACATAACTGTTTTAAGTGTTTGCACAAAAGTGTTTGCACAAAAAAAAAGTCCATGTGTTTTATTCATCCCCTAGGGCCATCATTACTGTTTTACTGACCATTTCTTTAAAAGAAAGAGGAGGCTTTGTCAAAGAGTAAGTCAGTCAGTCATATGACAAATCATTTATTGAGGGCTGCTCTGTGTCAGGCTCACAACAGGTGCCGGAAAGGCACGCTTGTGGCCATGCACCAACAAACTTAGGAGAAACCAAAATGGCAACCAGGTAAGCTTGGTCTTGCCATTGCACTGGGATCTGTTACTTCCACAAAATTCTAGAAACTCAAAGAGCAGAACACGGAAGATGAACTGATCATCTGGGACAGAAGTTCTTGTTTTCCAGAGCATTCTGGGGCTGGAAGATCCTGCTTCTGTGCCTTAAGCTGTGCCTTTCAGAGTAGGCTCCTGTAGGTACCTGCTTTCCTCAAATGTTGCTTCATGGCACATTTGAAAGTAAGAAAGAACTTTAACCCTGTGAGAGAGAAATCAGAATTAGAACCAACAGGATTATTACAAATGAGATTCCATGGGTCTTATAAATACAGAGAGAGAAATATATCAACAAACACCAGAAGGTTAAACACTAAAATGTTAACAGTGATGGTCTCTAGTGAGCAGTGTGTTTGTCTGTAGTGCCGCAGGCACTGACTGCAAACTTGAAAGCTGTTCTCAACCTCTTCACTGTGGATAGCGTCCACTCTAGAAGCAAAAAAGCCAAATACTTGTTTGTCAAATTCCTTTGTAACAATGTGTCATCACATGATACAGTTCTGACAACCTAAGTGAATGGGGAATCCACTGAGGGGGTTTCTGGGAAAGCTTTTGTTTCCTGGGAAAGGGAGAAAGCTTCGCCACTTCTGCACCATCCCTCTTGCCTTCAACATGGTTGTGATGTCAGGAGCTATGGCAGCCATCTCGCAACCATGAAAACTGAAAAGTAGGGAAAACCTAGATCCTTTACAACACTCCTCAGCAACAGAACCAATAGCAGCAACAGCTAACTCTGAGCTTCTATTCTTGCAGGAAAAAAAGAAGGAGAAGAAGAAGAATTTCCTATTTAATTAAACCACTGAATCTTAGTTACTTGTGTTTGGAATAAATCAGTGAAAGTATAAAAAATCCTAATCAGGGATGGAGGAGCCATTGTGTAGAGCAAAGTTTTACAACTCTGCAAATTTTATTTATTTAATTTTTGTTCATTCATTTATTTTTTAATTTAAATACGATGAGCACTGGGTGTTATACTCAACTAATGAATCGTTGAACATTATATCAAATCTAATTATGTACTATAGCTTGGCTAACTGAATTTAAATACAACTGTAAATTTTGAATAGAGATGATAGCAATGCAAAATTATGTGGAATGAGGTGGAAAAATATGTTTTGCCTCCATTTGCACATTTGTTTCAATGTCTCTGAAACTATATATGTTTAGTATAATTCATGTAATTCATATGTTAACATATATTTAATTCATGTTAAATACATAATATGAAATTTTATGTATTATATATAATTATGTACTAATTATATAACTTTATAATTATATATGTAATTCTAATATCTATATATCTATATATCTATATCTATCTATCTCTATAAAAAATTATCAACAAGAGAACCTGGCAGATGTTTTAACTGGCTCAGAAAAGAATGCAAAGTATAGACATGTGTATATTACATAATACATATATAATATATACTATATATAATTTATACAAAATATATAAAACATTACATGATTTGTATATAATGTATGCAATATATAAGATATCTATGATACATGTTACATAACATATTATATATATTACATAATATATGTATCTGTTCTGCGCATTCTCTCTTTTTTTTTTTTTTAAGATTTTATTTATTTATTTGACAGACAGAGATCACAAGTAGGCAGAGAGGCAGGCAGAGAGAGGAGGAAGCAGGCTCCCTGCTGAGCAGAGAACCCGATGCGGGGCTCGATCCCAGGACACTGGGATCAAGACCTGAGCTGAAGGCAGAGGCTTTAACCCACTGAGCCACCCAGGCGCCCCCTGTGCATTCTCTTTTGAGCCAGGTTAACATCTGCCTCACTCCCGCACTGATTAATGAGTAGAATAAAATATTTAATGTATGCTCATGTTCTATCTGTATGAGTCATGATTCTATCTTGTTTAGCTCACACAGCTACTAAGGGGCAAAGCTGGGATTTAACCCCGGAAGCCTGGTTCCTGAACCCCAACTCTTGAACACGACACTTTAGCAAATGTACTAATATACATGGACACACTTAGCTCACAGTAGGTACTCAGTGCACAGTGGCATCTCGTGTTGCTAAGAAGCAGTGTTTCCATCTGAACAGAACCCACATAAAATACACAGTCTCTCACCGTTTTAGAAGTGGAGGGGACGGAAGACAGTAATATCCCTGAGCTCTGGGTCTCAGAGCTGGGTTTGATCTTCCTGGTAATCAATCTCCTGTATTCTTCCCGTACCTGGAGGGAAAAACACATCACAAGAAGATGAATTATTCCCCAGATGCAGGGATGTGGGCTGACACAGGCATGTTCCCCTGAAGACTGGGGCTGGGAAGGGCAAATGCTGTGTACCTGGCGGTTGAGCAGACAGTGAATGATGAAGATGAAGGCCCCCTGCAGGCTGTTGATGATAGTGAAGAGGTAGGCCATGATACTAGCCATGGGTCCAATCTGGAAGAGGCCTAACACCCAGGAGCATCCCAAGATGAAGAGCTGGGCAAAGGCCTTGAGTGTCAGTAACCTAGGGGAGAAGATTTGGAGACCGTAAAGTTTTGGGCAATGGCTGTTGTCCTCATGGACTGTGCCCCCACCACTCGCCCGCCACCTGGGTGGAAATAAAGGTGCAGTGGTGTCTCCAAGCCCAGAATCGGGGAAATTGAGTCCCGCTGGCACTTGAAAGGCAGTTGGCCTACAGATACACATGCCACAAGGATGTGTGGATACATATATTTAATGTAATAGTGGATATTTTGGGTTTTTTTTTATGTTCTAAAACTTTTATTTTTATTTTTTTTTTATTTCTTTTCAGCGTAACAGTATTCATTGTTTTTGCACCACACCCAGTGCTCCATGCAATCCGTGCCCTCTCTAATACCCACCACCTGGTTCCCCCAACCTCCCACGCCCCGCCCCTTCAAAACCCTCAGATTGTTTTTCAGAGTCCATAGTCTCTCATGGTTCACCTCCCCTTCCAATTTCCCTCAACTCCCTTCTCCTCTCCATCTCCCCTTGTCCTCCATGCTATTTGTTATGCTCCACAAATATGTGAAGCCATATGATAATTGACTCTCTCTGCTTGACTTATTTCACTCAACATAATCTCTTCCAGTCCCGTCCATGTTGCTACAAAAGTTGGGGATTCATCCTTTCTGATGGAGGCATAATACTCCATAGTGTATATGGACCACATCTTCCTTATCCATTCGTCCGTTGAAGGGCATCTTGGTTCTTTCCACAGTTTGGCGACCGTGGCCATTGCTGCTATAAACATTGGGGTACAGATGGCCCTTCTTTTTCACTCCATCTGTATCTTTGGGGTAAATACCCAGTAGTGCAATTGCACGGTCATAGGGAAGCTCTATTTCTAATTTCTTGAGGAATCTCCACACTGTTCTCCAAAGTGGCTGCGCCAACTTGCAGTCGCACCAACAGTGTAAGAGGGTTCCCCTTTCTCCGCATCCTCTCCAACACATGTTGTTTCCTGTCTTGCTAATTTTGGCCATTCTAAGTGGTGTAAGGTGGTATCTCAATGTGGTTTTAATTTGAATCTCCCTGATGGCTAGTGATGGTGAACATTTTTTCATGTGTCTGTTAGCCATTTGTATGTCTTCACTGGAGAAGTGTCTGTTCATATCTTCTGCCCATTTTTTGATATGATTGTAATAGTGTTGATAGTGATGAAAATGCTCCAAGGACCTACAGGTCAAGAACTGAGGACATGTTAAATGAATGGTAATGTCGTAGGATGAAATACAAGGACATTTTTTTCTAATCAAAGAAAAACTTGCATAATATAAAACTCACCATTTTACCCACTTGAAGTATGTAATTCAGTGGCACTTAGCACGTTCCTGATGCTGTACAATCATCCCCAGCCACTTCTAAGACATTTTTATCACCCCAAAGAGAAACCCCACACCTATGAAGCATTCATTCCCCATCCCCTCCCCAACTAAAACAACCCCAGTGTCCATCTACTTGAGAGGAGATAAACAATATTTGGCCCATCCATACCCTGGGATATTACTCAGCCTTAAGAGGGAATGAAATTCTGATACCAGCTATAATGCGGATGAACTCAGAAGACATTATGTCAGTGAGAGAAGCCAGTCACAGAAGGACACAGAGTATATGATTCCATTTATTGGAAATGTCCAGAATTAGGCACATCTATAGAGACTAAAACCTAAGCTGATTCACAGATGCAGTGGAACGCCAAAGTGGAGATAAATGTGCATTAAAAACTGATTTTCAGTACTCTTGCTTTCAAAAAAAATAAATAAAAGCAAATAATAAAGACATTTTTAAAATTTTATTTATTTATTTGACACAGAGAGAGAGATCACAAGTAGGCAGAGAGGCAGGCAGAAGGAGAGGGGGAAGCAGGCTCCCCACCAAGCAGAGAGCCCGATGCGGGGCTCGATCCCAGGATCCTAGGATCATGACCCGAGCTGAAGGCAGAGGCTTTAACCCACTGAGCTACCCAGGTGCTCCAATAAAAACATTTTTTGAAGATTTTATTTTTAAGTAAACTCTATACCCACATGGAGTTCTAATTCACAGCCCTGAGATCAAGAGCTGCCTGCTCTACTGATTGAACCAGACCAAGTTGCCCCATAAAAACATTTTTTAAAATGAGATGAGAGTGACCATATACTATGGGGGTAAAGGTACAGGCTCTGGGTACCTGTGGAAACTGCCTCAGTTTCCTCAAATTGATATAGGGACAATAATGCAATTCCTACAGGGTGATATTACTTGTTCTACAGATTAAATGAGATAACAAAATTCTAAGAGTGCTTACAGTAGTGTCTGGCACAAAAACATTTTTGTTAGTTGTTTTTAGACATAAGTACTCATATGAAATCAGCTACCTATTATGTGGAAAAATCCCAAAGTTCAGAATATGTATAGTATCTAATTATTTATATAATAGAAGGTGAGTGTGTATAGAGTATCCTGGAAGGAAGCCCAATTCATGTGATAATGGTTGCTTAAGGTGGGAGAGATCTGGGGAACTGGGGGTAAGGGAAGAGAGAAGGAATTGCTTTCCATGTGTTCCCCTTTTCAGTGCTTGATTTTTCTTAGCATTGCATGTATTAACTTTGTTTTATAATTTTTGCATCAACTTTTTAAAAATAATTTTTAGAAAAAATTATTTTCTAAAATTTTTTTCCTAAAAATTATTTAAGATAGATGAGGGATTAGATACTGATAGGAAAATAAGCAAAGGACATCATATGGTTCCCGACAATAAAACCTAGACCATGTCTGACTTCTGTAGGTTCTTAAGATGAAGATTAGTTGAGGGGTGCCTGGGTGGCTCAATCAGTTAAGTGGCTGCCTTTGGCTCAGGTCATGATCTTAGGGTGCTGAGATGGAGCCTCTCTCATCAGACTCCCTGCTCAGGGAGTCTGCTTCTCCCTCCCCCTCTGCCCCTCCCCCCACTGCTTGTGCTCTCTCTCTCAAATAAATAAAATCTTTTTTTTTTTTTTAAGATTAGTTGAGTGATAGAGTTAAGAAACACAAATGGCCTATAAAAGTATGAAAATGTCCCATATCTATAAGATAAAATAATATATACAAAACTAACATAATATGATAGAATCTTTCACCTATTAAATCAGCAAAAAGACACAACAAAAATGATACATTCTGGTGTTGGCAAAGCTGTAGGTAAACAAGCACTCTTGCAAATGGAAACAAATTTTCTGGAAAACAATTTGCAATATATATTGAAAGTGTGACAATCGAACCTGCCATCTGACTCAGGCAGTTTTGTGCCTACTGTTATGATCCAACAACCACCGACGTGGAAAAGGATCTATCTACAAGGGTATTCAAGACTGCATTGTTTATAATAGCCCAACTCGCCCCAAGAAATCAGAAACAACGTGAATGTTCCATGAATAAGGCATGATTTAAGTAAGCTGTGCTGTATTCTTACACTGAAATGTTTTACCAAAAAAAGATATTGTCAAAGGATGTCTAGTTAAACTGAAAAATATTCATGACATTATTAAGAGAAAAAAATCATTACAAATATAAGGTAGATGGCAAGATTCTGTTTTTGCAAATATGCACGTATCATTGTGTACAGTAGATGAGTTAGAAAATATATTAATAGTTTCAACATAGGAAACACTCTTCTTGGTAACTGTGTTACTGTTTCATAAGCCAGGTAAAGTGGGCAATGTTAGCATCCCTAGTGTACAGATGAGGAGACAGTTTCAGAGAGGTTATGTAACTTGCCTAAGGTCATACAGCTTATAAGTGGCAGACCTGACATTTGAGACCCCAAATCTAGACACTGTGCTCTTCTGTCCTGTGCACAGGACCAGGCATATGAAAGGTACTCAGTGAATGTTTGTGGGGGAAATGAGGGAGATTGGAAAAGGAGAGGAAAGAAAGGAGGGTCTGTACCTAGTGTCTTTGAGTGTTGAGACTTCAGCATTGACACTGGAAAGCTTCTGCCTCAGGACACACAGCGTCCAAGTCAGGAGGATGGAATTGATCTACAAAGTCAAGCAGAAAGGACTGAGAGATTGGGTATACAAATGGACAATGGCCAGACCACCTACCTGTGAAAGACTCATAGTCTGCAGTAAACACTCCAGGAAGCAGTCAGCCCTAAACAACCAGCTCTTGATTGGTAACTGACAGCCTCCCTAATTTCTGCCCTCACTTCCAATTTAGAACCAAAAGGAGAAAGCCAATATGCTCCCCTAAGCATTCACAGAGGATGCCCTGCTTTGAGTTAGCTTGCCTTTAAGGTCCCAAAGCCTATAGCCTCTGCTCAGGGCACACTGAAGCCTTCCCTTTTTTACCCCTTTCCCACTCCTCTGCCTGCTTTTGAATCTCTGCAAAGTGTAAGTGATGGTGACTGACTCCCTCACTATAGCAATAAATAGCCTTTGCTGGTTCTCATCTGGGTGATCACCACTAAATTTCACTGTATGCATACGGAAAGTGAGAATCAAGATTGGTGCCCTGTTTCAGTTGAATTGTTGAAGCCCTAACCCCCAGGACCTCAGAACGTGATCTTATTTGGGGTTAGGGTCTTTACCAGAGGTGAACAAATTAAAATGAGTCATAGGTTGGGCCCTAGTCCCACATGACCTTATAACACAGGGAAATTTGGACACAGACACAGTCAAGCACAGAGAGAAGACCAACTTCTACAAGCCAAGAAACTCCTGAGGTTACCAGTATTCTTGGATAGAAAACTGGAATGGATCCTTCCCTTGAGCCTTCAGAGAGGACATGGCCCTGATGACCTCTTGATTTTATACTTCTGGCCTCCAGAGCTGTGAGACAATACAATTCTGTTGTTCTAAGCCACTTTGTTTGTGATGCTTTGTTATGGTAGCCCTAGGAAACTAATACGTACCCTCCCCCGCCCAGGTCTTACAGAAGTCAGAGCAAAACCCATCTGGAGGAATACAGTCTCAAGAATTCCCAAGATTTATATCAGTGGGATAAGAGCTCACAATGAACAATTATAAGTGACACAAGGAAAAAAGCCACCATGAGTGAGAGTCAGAAGAAACATCAACTTGTAGGACTGTTGAATCTGGGTTGGAGGTAAGAAGGCAAGAAGATGGTGGGTAACACCCCTAGGTTCCCAGAGAGTAGAACAGTGGGTGCTAGGGCTGGGGAGTGGAAGGGGAAGATGTTGGTCCACAGTTATACAAGGTGAATAAGTTCTAGAGATCTTATGTATAGTGGGGTGACTACAGTTAACAATACTATATTATATACTTGAAATTTACTAAAAGGGCAGATCTTAGCATCCCAGTGTTCATAGCAACAATGTCCACAATAGCCAAACTATGGAAAGAGCTGAGATGCCCTTCAACAGATGAATATATAAAGATATGGTCCATATACACAATGGAATATTACTGAGCCATAAGAAAGGATGAATACCCAACTTTTGTATCAACATGAATGGGACTGGGGGAGATTATGCTGAGTGAAATAAGTCAAACAGAGAAAGTCAATTATCATATGGTTTCACTTATGGAACGTAAGGAATAACATAGAGGGCATTAGGAGAAGGAAGGGAAAAATGAAGTGGGGGAAATCGGAGGGGAAGACGAACCATGAGAGACTGTGGACTCCGAGAAACAAACTGAGGGTTTTAGAAGGGCAGGGGTGGAGGGTGGGTTGGCTTCATGATGGGTGTCAAGGAGGTCACGTATTGCATGGAGCACTGGGTGTTATACATAAACAATGAATCTTGGAATACTATATCAAAAACTAATGACATATTGTATGATGACTAACATAACATAATAAAAATAAAATAAAATAATAATAAAGAAAAAGAAAAAGGAAAAAAGGGCAGATCTTAAGCGATCTCACCACAAAAAAAAGAAAAAAAAAGAAAGAAAAACAGTAACGATGTGAGGTGATAGATATGTTCATTAGCTTGATTGTGATTATTTCATGATGTATATATATATAAGTCAAAACATCAAGTTTCACATCTTAAATATATACAATTTTTATTTGTCAGTTACACCACAATAAAGCTGGGGGGAAAAAACAACTCTAGGCTTTCCTTTGCTTTCAACCCTCAGTTTTCTTCTCCTCCCTGACCATCAAATACTCTTAATTTCTTTCTCCCTTTTTTTTTCTCATTCAATGTCTAACCTCAGAAGACATCAACAGACTCGTTCTCACTGAAACACAAAGGACAGATAAGATTATCTGTCCTTCCAGGGATCTATCCCCTCCAGGGGATTTGCATGTTGGCAGAGAAAAAAAAAATCACATGTCAAAGAAATTACACTCTAATTTGGAAATCTCAAGAACCAGGGATCAGAAGGGAGAATGTTTGAGAAAAATAAGTGACCTCAGTTATGCAAATTCCACTGGCACTCCCTGATCCCTTGGGTCTCCTTGTTCCTGCACGAAAACATACGGCATCAAGCGATTTTCTTACCATGATGATGGCACAGACTGGCCCCAGGAAACTCCAGATGAACCCTCTGTCTATATTCAGCCAGCAGCTATGGAAAGAAAGAGGAGTCAGTGCTAGTCTCAGTCTTGACCCTACTGTTACTCATACCCCAGCAAATGCACTAATGGAGGAGAGTATAGGGAGATGGCCCTGAGATGAAAATTCTCATGATGTGGCAGGTTACAGTTCAGTTTCCTTTGGGACACAGCAAGTCTTCTTTCAGACTTTCCTCCTGGGTAAATATTCCTGAAGTATTCACTAGGTGCCATGAGTAGAGCTCATCTTCTATTCATAATCTTTGTAACCTCTTCCCCCCCATTCAGACCTCTTTACTGGTACACCTGCTCCTTCAAATCTCAGCTCAGATGTCATCTCCTTTGAAAAGCCACTTCTGACCATCACTACTCCTGGTCCATCTCTGGCAGGGTTTGCTGGTTTCTTTCTTTTCTTTTTTAAAGATTTTATTTATTTATTTATTTGACACAGAGAGAGAGAAAGAGAGAGAGAGAGAGAGAGATCACAAGTAGGCATGCAGAGAGAGAGGGGGAAGTAGGCTCCCCGCTGAGTGGAGAGCCTGATGCAGGGCTCGATCCCAGGACCCTGAGATCATGACCTGAGCTGAAGGCAGAGGCTTAACCCACTGAGCCACCCAGGCACCCCTTGTTTCTTTCTTATACAATCTATTGGTATCAATTATGATGGTGTTTGTTTCCTTGCAAATTGTCCTCTCCCTACAAGATTGTGAGCTGTATGAGAATTTGGACTTTGGACTTTTGTTCATCTCTGAATACCCAGCCCTCAGTGCAAGTCCTGGCATGGATGAGACATTCTATGATTATTTCTTAAAAGAAATGGAGGGAAGGTGAGGGGGGGAATGGAGAGAGAGAAGGAAGAGCGAATTCATTGCCTCTTTCCAGCATGTCTCTGGTAATTTGTTGTTTTCACCATTTCACAAGCATTCTACCATGTTCAGGAACAGCACCCCAATATTCCTTTAGCAAAAGTGTGCTCCCCTCTCTACACAAGAGAAGGAAAATAATCAAGTTTGGCCAACCAGGCATTCTCTCCCTGGAACATGAATCTCCAAGTAGTAGTAATAAAAAGGCATAAAATGCACAGAAGATGCTGTCCCTGTTCTTTCAGTAAATTTACTTCTGAAAGTAGTACTTTCAGTACTTACTTACTTACTACTGAAGTAAATTTACTTCAGTAAATACTGGCCAACTTCCTTATCAGTTTCTGCATCTCTGGCTGGAGGCATCAGATTGAAAGCTCTGAGAATTAGCTGTCTGGGAGCAGCCCTCAACCAATGGCTGCTGGGAGGGAGCTGGTCAACAAGTATGCCCCCTGGGTGAGATATCAGAGGTGCATGCCCTACATAGTTTCCCAGAGGTGCCCACTGGGCTGGAGCCCATTACCTGCAACCACACCTGCTCAGAAATGCACCATGTTTCTCCTTCTCTTCCCCATGCCTAGTGCTTCTTCTGAAGGTCATTTCAAATCCTTGTCAGTACTCCTCTCTTCCAAAACTTTCTGTGGTTCTTACCACCTGGAAGGTATTCTCCAAATTCCATGCCCCTTCCCCAGTTTCCCCTTCTCTCAGCCCAATCCATCCATTCTCCAAACACACCTTGAGCCCTCCCTTGGGAAGCTATTGCCTTCATCTCTGTTGCACCCCCTTTCCTCTTTGCCTGTGTACATTTCAGTGGAGCTTTCAAGACTCATTCAAATACCACCTCCTTCAGGAAGCCTTCCATGAACTTTCCAACTCCCATGTATTATCATCCTTCTCTGGTCTGTGTCAGTGCTTCTATTACCCATACCAACATTGGACACTTCATCATGGTGGCCTTACATTATCACTTCCATCTCCTGATAAGTCAAATCCAAATTCAGTTTGGACAATTCCTAGCTTCCTAGCTAACTGTGCTGAGTCTCATTTCCTCTGAAGCTACTACCATTCATTAAGCTGTTACTTTAGGTACCACCATGTGCAGCAACACAGGTTGTACACTGCAGAAATCCAAGGGACACTCTTCACACTGTACACAATGGAGACTCAGTCCTCGCACATAAGATTTCAGTTGAGAAGTACCAGAGGTAATACATGTTTGTAAAGCTTGCAGGATTTAGGTTTGATGAGTCCCCACTAACTATGGATTCCTTTCCATCACATCTTATCTCATGACCTCACCTGAAATATAAACCATCAGTAGTAGGCAGGGAGGAAACCTGGATATTCAGTTCCCTCACCAAAATAAAGGGGGGGGGGATCAGATGGGGAGAAGAACCATGAAAGACCATGGACTACAGGAAACAAACAGGGTTTTAGAGGGGAAGGGGTTGGGGGAGATGGGCAAGCCCGGTGATGTGTATTAAGGAGGGTACGTATTGCATGGAGCACTGGGTGGGTGTTGTATGCAAACAATGAATCATGGAACATGACATCAAAAACTAATGCATTACTGTTTGGTGACTAACAAAACATAATAAAAAAAATAAACAAATGTCTTAAAAATAAATAAATGATACTCACCAACACACTACCTAAAATCCTCTCATATGAACCATGTGATAAACAAACCCTGCTTTAAAACGGACCATGATGATGATGATGATGATGATGATGGCATGTATAATGCTTTACACTGTGCCAGACACTCTTCTAAATGTTTTGCAGATAACATCTCATTTAACCTTCACAACACTATGATGTAGGCATTGCTGTCAGCCCCTATTGTACGGATGAGGAAATGGAAATGGTATGAAAGAGGTTAAGTGACTTGCCCAAGGTAGCACAGCTAAAAGGTGGTAGAGCAAGGATTCAAACCCAAGCAGGTTGGCTCCAGAAACTGTGATTTTAAAATTTACAACCAAGTTCATTGTTTATACCACCACCATTTATCTTTATTATAATGCAAATAGTGACTCTTAGATTTGTGTAGTGTATAACCTGTGCTACTGTACATGGCAGGCCTGAGACTGACAAAACATAAAGAGCTCAATAAATGGTAGACTCAATTACCACTACTGTTATAGCTCTTCTTGGTGTTCCTGTAAATATCATCATGAACCCTGGCAGTAGGCTCCTCAGGGAGAGAGAAGGAGATCACTTACCGATTATGCATCCCATAACCTTGTGGTTGCACACTGGCAGAGACAGCCACCACCACCACTGGGAGCCCATAGCCAAAGGCACAGAGGTACCACATCTTGATGTTGCGAGAGCTGAAGTAATTCACCACTTTCAGGTTCCTGACCATAAGGAAGAGCATCACAGCCTCCACCAGCATCCAGAAGAAGCAGGCCAGGAAAAGGTAGTGCAGGAAGCCTGCAATGATGGCACAGCCCATCTGGAGAGGAGAAGCATGCACATTCAGGATCATTTCACCCTCCCCCCACCGCCCAAGAAGCAGATCCAGACAATAGTGGGGGTACACTTTGATTGGAGTTCCCCAAACACAGCCCATTCCTTCTTTCCACAAACCTTTATAGAGATATTCTTCCTGCAGGTGCTATCATCTCTTTGGTTGGGGGACCCATTGTCCTGGTTTGCCTGGGACTAGTTTTTCCCAGGACATGCAACTTTCAGTGTTAAAACTTAAGAGAGTTTTGAGAAGAAGGGATAGTTGATCACCCTACCTCAGAGGATGTGTGAAGATATTGAGTGTGGGGATGAGGAAACCATAGCCATTGGACTGGCTGTCTGTTTTGTAAATAACATCTCGTGGGCACATGGTCACATCTATTTCTATATTTTCTATGGCTGTTTTCACTAAAACAGCAAAGTTAAGCGGTTACAGCAGAGACCCTAGGATCTGCAAAGCCAAAAATGTTTATATCTGCCTCTTTGCAGAAAGTGTTTGCTCACTCCTGGTCAAATGGTGGGAGTGACACGAACTACTAGCATTGAGTTCTGGGAAGCTAAACATTCCACAATGAGAGGGTTGATTCCACATAAAGAAAGATCACTCCAGGCAAAATGTCGCTAGTGCTCCTTCTGTAAAAATCCTGAGAGCCTACCATGTTTCTGGTATAGTTATAGGGAGTAGATTGGCCAAAGTTCTTGCTCATAGTCTAGTTTAGGGGTGTAGATGCACAAGTAAAACAACTAATAATCATAATGGTTTCAAATAAATGCTCAGAAAGAAAGCAAAATAGATTGATAAGGCATAGAGTTTCTCAGCTGTAACATTATTGATATTTGTAACATTATTGCCAGGTTATTTTCTGTCTTGGGAGCTGTTCTGTGTCTTGTAGGGTGCTTGGCAGCATACTTAGTCTCCACTGGGTGCCAGCAACTCCCCTACCAATACTGTCTCTAGATATCACCGAGTGTCCTCAAGGGGCGGAATCCTCAAATATAAGAACCAATGGTTTAAACAGTAATGGGGAGACCACCACAGTATATAAGATGACCAGGGAAATGATTTTAAACTGAAACCTATCACAAGAAGGAGACCACCAGGTGAAGAGCTGGGAACAAGTATCATCAAAGGAGGGCATAGCACATATAAAGGTCCTGAGGTGGGAACTAGCATAGAAGTTGTTGGGTGGATGAGCAGGGGCAGATGTCGACATGGTGAGGCTGAGTGAGGACACAGTCTAAGGGATGTGAGACCTGGTTGCCTGTCTTGTCTACACCGATGATGAAGAGAGTCTTGGCCAAGAAGAGGCAGATGCAGAGGTGCAGGTGGAGGTAGGTGTTGTGGTTGCGAATGGCACGGCACAGTAGGAAGGTGGCGATGGCCAAGACGAGACACACCAGGGAGATGATTATCCCCACGTGGCTAATGAGGTACAAGGAGAACTCCATCTGTCAGAAAGGAGATACAGTACTCAGAGAGGGACTGACATTCCTCCAGGCAGAAAAAAAGAATTATCCAGACTCCTGACTGGGGCAGAAAGGGCTCAGGGAACTTTTCTCCCTTTGACACTCAGAGTGAACCAGATATTGTCTATCATCATCCCTTGGAATCCATCAGCACCCATCCCCTTGCCTCCCCCTGCCCTGTCCTGTGCCCCACCTCATGTCGTACTAGAGCAGGATGCCTATAAACTACATTTCCCAGAATCTTCTGGGGCTAGGGTCCTGGATGTCATTTAGGTTCTCCAATGAGAGGTATGCACAGAAGTTCTAGAAGGCAGAATGGAGGCAGATACCAGCTTTCTTTCTGCAGGTAGGAGCAAGTTATGGCTGGGCTCCACATTCCAGCTGTCCCTTCTTTGATTGCACAGATATGGAGTGATCTGACAGTAGCAATTTCTGACCTCTGGATTGCAGCTGCAGAAGGGTGCTCTTGAAGCCAAACCCCAACTGGCAGGCCCTGACTTCAATTCCTCCATCCCTTCTCATGATTTTGTGAGCATCCCATTCCCTGCTCGAAACACCTAGAGTGGTTACTATTTCCTGCCCTGATCCAGGAGGCTACACAGGCGTTCAGAGATGCCCCAACTTCTGGGAGTGGAAATGGCAAGCGGAGTACTTCCCCTATTCACAATTAATCTTAAATTTTTGAGTTCCTTCTGTGTATTAAAGATGTGACAAGGCAATATCTCACCAGCTACTCTCTATGATTTTGCGATGTGGTGGCTAAGAAAACAGACTACAGTTCTGCCAGTTCCTAGTTTTATGAGCTTGGGCAAGACACTTAACTGCTCTGTGCCTCTGTTTCCTCATCTGTTAAAAGAGGATACAAACAGTAACCCTTTAGGGTTGTTGCAGGAGGATTCAATGAAAATACTTGAAGTGCTCACAGCTGTGCAGGAAATGCACTGCGTGTTCTGTGTGTCTTTCCTCTCCACTGAATCTACCCACTCACCAAGGCTCACTTCACATCCCATCCCCTCCCTGACTACTTGCTGGCTCTCACCAACACACTTCTGAATTCCCATAGCACTACTGCTTGTACCATATACATGGTTTTGTGGAAAGAGACATCTGGAGCTAGACTATCCTGGGTTCGAGGCTTGTCTCGAGTTTCCTAAGCAGGTGGGCTATGGGGCCTCAGCCCCCAACCTGTAAAAGGGCTTGAAAACACTTAACTTAAAATAAAGGGTCCAGGGGCACCTGAGTGGCTCAGTGGGTTAAGCCGCTGCCTTCGGCTCAGGTCATGATCTCAGGGTCCTGGGATCGAGTCCCGCATCAGGCTCTCTGCTCAGCAGGGAGCCTGCTTCCCTCTCTCTCTCTCTCTGCCTGCCTCTCTGCCTACTTGTGATCTGTCTCTGTCAAATAAATAAATAAAATCTTTTAAAAAATAAATAAATAAAGGGTCCAACACAGTAGGCGCTCTGTAAATGGGATCTGTGATTGTAATTGTCTCAGCATCTGCTTAGGGTTACTTCTTATTTTATAAATGCATGTCACAGCTTCCCAGCCAGGCCCTGAATTCTCCAAGGGCAGAGTTATTGCACACCCCATCTGTCGCCCATGACTCCCACAACACCCAAAGCCATGAGAAATGCACAATGGATATTTACTCAATATTTCCCCTTGGGTTTGGGGAGCCAGAACACAGAGAATCAGTACTGACCGTGAGCTCCCCAGAAGCCATGATGATGGCCAGGTTCATCATTTGATTACAGCTGCAGACAGTATGTGTCTTGGAAGCTTCAAGGACCACACAGCCAGAGGACATCCACCTACAACCCTCCAAGTTGGTGTCCCAGGAAACACAGATAGGTCTCTCAAATTCCTGCTTCGGCTGAAAATGGTAAGGCTCTGGTCACCTGAAATGCTCTTTCAAATGGATTCAAGAGTCATTTGGGGCAAGAAGATGCAGGTGTGTGTTTGGGGTGCAAGGAGGGAGGGAAAGTTCTCAGATATCAGATCTGCCTCTAGCGCTGACTTGGTCATAGCTCATGTGAATAACATTTCTCTAAATGTTCCTGCGTGAACATCACTTAATCTGAGCCCAATCTTGCACAATGATGGATGGAAGAATAACACATAGAAATAGGGAAGCCCTCTCCTCGGAAGATAGATTTGGGGGGTCAGCTTGAAACAAGCAAGAAACTGTAGGAGCTTGCTGCCTTCACGGGTCCCTATCAGAAAGGAAAGTTGAGCCCACTGGGGGATGGGACATTCTCCATAGGTAGAGGGGGGTTCAGCAGGAACCTCTTCACAAACCTCAATGTTCTCCAGCATGTAAATGACTGGGTCGGAGAAGCCGTCTTTCTTCTCCCCAGTCATGATACCCTGTACAATGCGAGAATTCATCTTCACCTTCAACTTGTTCTGGAAGTTGGCCAAAGGGGTCTGAGGGTCTTGGAAGAAGCTCTCGTCTAAAAAAGACTCCATGCCCAAAAAGGAGACAAAAGCCACCCCAGTGGGGCCTGTGATTCCCCCAAAGGCAAAAAAAAAAAAAAATCATTTGCTCAGTAGTGATTATAGATGACCCAACACACACACACACAAACACACACACACACACACACACACACACACACTTTAATATCCCACGCACTCTGTACCCAAAAGCCACCCCAGTGGGGCCTGTGATTCCCCCAAAGGCAAAAAAAAAAAAAATCATTTGCTCAGTAGTGATTATAGATGACCCAACACACACACACACAAACACACACACACACACACACTTTAATATCCCACGCACTCTGTACCCCACTCACCCTCTCTGAGGATGGCAACCCCAGTACAACCAGTGGACTTAAAGATTGGTGACCCTCATAGAAACCATTAAAAAAAAATCCCGAGCTGCTCCCACCTGGAGAAATGTTGGCTACATTTAAAAATAAATTTAAATTTGTATTTTTAAGAGACAGTCAAACTGAGCAGTGGAAATAAGTTTGCCTCCTACTTTCATGGTTATTCTGGCTCCCCCTTTTAGGTAGGCTTCCCCCGTCAATGTTGGTGATCTTCAGGGATGTCCCAGGCCTGCTCCCTGAGCCTTCCAGACTGCAGATGGGTGGGGAAGTGGCCAACAGCAGTCCACCAGCTAATCTGGCCATTGCCTCTCTTGTATAAATAAAAATGTGGCTACAACATGGCCACGCCCATCCATGCATGAACACCTTTGCACCGTGAGGGACTGTATTGCCCTCAATGCCTAAAATATCTACCAACCCACCCTCTACAGGACAACTTTGCCAATCCCTGCTATAAACCAGTGTTGTCCGCCAGCTATACAACATGAATCGCCCAGGTAATTTAAAGTTTTCTAGTAGCTACAATTTTTAGAAAAGCCAAAAACAAGTAAAAATTGATCTTAACGATGTATTAACTCAATACACGCAAACAGTTATCATTTCAACATATAAGCAATATAAAAAATATGAATGAGATTTTTCTATCCTTCGTTTTTTTCGTACCAAGCCTTTGGAATCTGGTGTGGAGTTTTACACTCACAGCCTGGCCACATTTCAAGTGCTCGCTGGCAAAAGGGGCCAGTGGCTGCTTAACTGGACGGTGAAGGTCTTGGTGCCCCATTATTGTGAGGGGATCTATTTATTGAACATCTGACTTCCCCAGCTGATGGAAAACTCCCTGAGGACAGGGCCCTCACCTCACTGAGCCCTTCACCAGTCTGGGCACCTGCCAGTTGACTGATGGATGTCTGCCGACTGATTACACCGCACCCACCCTCCTTGATTCTCAGTCCAAGTCAGTACCTGCGGAGTCAGACTCTTCGATGGTGGAACACGCAATCTCCATCTTGTCCCCTTTGGCTTTCAAGTGAAAGGTCATGTTCTCTTCAGTGCATCCTTCCTTGATAATTTTGCTTTCAATTTCTAAAAGGAAATTGAAGTGAAAGGAACGTAAAGTGAAAGGAAATTGCGGTGAAGCGTCTGCCTTCAGCTCAGGTCACGATCCCAGCATCCTGGGATCAAACCCAGCATTGGGCTCCCTGCTCAGTGGGGGAGCCTGCTTCTCCCTCGGCCTGCTGTTCCCTCTGCTTGTTCGTGTGCTCCCTCTCTCTCCCCCTGCCTCTCTCTCTGACAAATAAGTAAGTAAAAATCTTTAAAAGGAGATAAAAGGAGATAGGGAGACTTTGCCTGAGGTCACTCAGAAAGGGAGTCCTGGATTTGATTTCTGTCCAAAAGTTATATATACCTCGTTGCAAACAACGAATAAAAAGGCCAGTTCATCACTTGGACAATCCTGAGCCCCTGATGAGCGACAGGAGGATGGGAGCCCCAGACAACTAAGAATCCCAGCGGGAGCTGTGAGAGTGAGCTCTTGCCCCAGAGGGGGTGCATCAGGGAAAGATGGGGTTGAAGTCAACAGTGATGGAAAGCAACGGTCACGACCCTCTAGCTACTCTGCATTTAGACAAGTTTTCTGAAGCCAAAGGGAAGAGGAAGGGGCTGGGGCAAACCCAGCAGACTGGACCAGGGCTCTGTCACTCACCAGCTGTGCCAAATGGAACAGTGACTTAAATTACCCTCTGAGCCGCAGGTCTCTGCGGCACGACCATAACTATAGGAGTCTTCATGAAAACAAACTAGGTAAAGGAACCGGAGGTTTTCTTTTTAAAATATAAGCCAGATCATGCCATGCCTGTTCTCAGACTCTCTAATTCTATGCCCCGCCCCCAATCTTCCTTCAGATGAAATCCTGAGTCCCCACATTCATCTGTGAAATCCACCTCTCCCCTCCGTTTCTGACTCCTTCTCCTGCAGGCTCTACGATTCTCTACTTCACTTTGGCCACGCTGGCCTCTCCACTGTTCCTTGAACTCACCAAATACGAACACGGCTCCCTTCCCATGTAAGCTAGGAAGGTCCCTCCCACGCCTGACCCTCTCAAGCCAACTTAGCCTGGCTGTATTTTTCTTTATAGCACTTTCTCCATCTCATATACTGGCTGCATTTACTGTGGGACTCAGCACGGTTGTCAAACAGAGAACACACTCCAAACCCTATCTGGCCACACTCTGAACTCAATGTCAGCCACTCCGTAAATGGGAGATGTTGTTCATATCCTTGGACTGGCTCTGTGACTTCTGTGACTTCAGAGGTTTGAAACCACTGGGGAAATGGGATATGGGAAAGTGGTGGAGAATCACATCGCCCAGAGCCCCGCTTCAAGCCAGCGCCCGGGTGTAACCTTGCCCTGTTACCTAAGTGTTCAGTCCGAACAGTCTGACTGACATTGGCCGAGGGGTTCAGGAAAGCTGCCAGCGTGCTGCTTTTCACACTCTCCAGGACCACAGTGGCCAGAGCGGAGGTCTCTTCTTTGGTGAAGTTGGACCATGTGGACGTTTGCTTGAGCACAGAGGCAAGGCTCTCAGCTGTATTCTGCAAGGAAAGGTGTTTGCATGCTGTGCATGCTCTCCCTCTTCCCAGACCCCTGGAACAGCAGCTGTTCCCTCTCCCTCCCCCTCCCTCTCTCTCCCTTCCACTCTCTCCTTCCTTTCTCTCTTCCTCCTTCTCCCTCTTTCCCTCTCTCTCTGGCCTCTCTCTTTCCCTTCTCTCTCTCCTCAAGAGAGTGTGTGACAGTCTAGACCAATGAAGAATTAAAAAGGCATCTACTCAGCTTCTTTTTCCTGATCCCAAAGGCCTCCCTGGGATGCAAAGTGGTGTAGCCTTTATTTTTTTTAAAGATTTTATTTATTTATTTGACAGGGAGAGAGACAGCTAGAGAGGGAACACAAGCAGGGGGAGCAGCAGGAAAAGAGGGAGAAAAAGGCTCCCCACTGAGCAGGGAGCCCAACATGGGACTTGATCCCAGGACCCCGGGATCATGACCTGAGCTGAAGGCAGATGCTCAATTGACTGAGCCACCTGGGTGCCCTGGCGTAGCCTTTAAATGAGCATGTGGAATAACATCGCGTGCACATAGCTCTGACCCAGCGATTTCGCTTCCTGGAATTAATCCTTCCAGAAATGCTTAAAAATTGTGTATATATATAGATAGATAGATAGATAGATAGATACACACACACTCACATACACACATTGTGTGTATCTATATATATACACACTGAAATACATTTTATATATATACATATATACATACACTGAAATACATGTATATATATACATATATACATAAAAATTATATATATATAATGTATATAGTATCTCATTTCACTGAGAAAACAAGTACTTTCATTAAAATGGTTGTACTTATGATATTACTGTTTCTGGCACATAGACATAAAAAGTAATCAATACTTACTATAACCCAGGTATTGTGTCTTATGTATGTTCATTTTAGGAAGATATCTGTGAAGTGGAGACTGTTGTGTCCATTTTTGGATGGGGAGACAGGACACACATCTAGGAGGTGGCAGAACTAAGACTTGAACCTTGGCAGGCTGGTATCAGAGGCTGAATCCTTCTAGTAGGTATTCACTGAATGGCTTCAGTGTGTGTGTGGGGGGGCATTCACAGAGTGGAAGGGTGTGGAAAGATACACATCCAAATGTTAACCATTGGGTGTTCCTCCATCGATTATGTCTATGATCAATGTTCCTCCATTGATTATGTCTATGGAGGAATAAAGGAAAGAATAGCAATAACAATATTAATATTAATGTTGATACGATTCCATTTACTGGTTGTCAGTAAGTTGACTTCTACAATGTGACTCTGACCCCAACAAAACAAAAATATGAAAAGGACTCACGACTTAATAAATATGAGGAAGAAATTAATTGACTCCAGACAGATGGGGAAGGAAATTAACTGAAATCCTGGTAGGAATACCAATTTCTATTTATCCAAACTGGGCAGTAGAAACATGAAAAGAGGGGCATCTGGGTGGCTCTGTCGGTTAAGGATCCAACTCTTGATACGGCTCAGTTCATGACCTCAGGGTCATGGGGTCCGCCCCTGCATTGGGCTCCACACTCAGTAGGGAGTCTGCTTGAGATTCTGTCTGTCTCCCCTGGCCCTCCCCCAGCTCTCTCTCTCTCTCACACAATCTCTAAAATTAATAAATAAATCTTTTTTAAAAACATGAAAAGAATTTCAGTAAAAACTGGATGACGGTACAACTTGAAAGTTGTTCCTTCTGGAGAAACAGGACGCGCTGAGTTCTGTAACCGTATCCCAATTGCAAGGCATGAGTGTAAGGATCCTCCCCACCAACGCAGAGAAAAATGTCAGGTAGAATCATCCTGCAAAAATGTGGTCCTCAATGGACCCTGGGGAGGGTATGTACTATCGTGAGCGCTGTGAAGTGTGTAAACCTGGCGATTCACAGACCTGTACCCCTGGGGCTAATAATACATTGTATGTTAATAAAAATATTTTTAAAAATCTTATAAATAAAAAGTTTTTGTGGGCTTTGAATCGGTTTAAAAAAAAAATACGGTCCTCAATTCTGTGGCTGAGGAAACCTCATTAAACTCCCTTTGAAATGTGAAATCTATTCTAAACTGGGAACACTGTTTTATTTCCTTGGGGAGGTAAAAAAAAAAAAAATCAGTAGGCAAACTTAGACTCCATGGGGTTAATACTCTTGTGTTCACTTTAGAAAGTTTTGTGATCTTTGGCATAATCTGGAAAACTTTTTGTTTTTAAGATTTTATTTATTTATTTGACAGACAGAGATCACAAGCAGGCAGAGAGGCAGGCAGAGAGACAGAGAGGAGGAAGTAGGCTCCCTGCCAAGCAGAGATCCTGAAGGGGGACTCAATCCCAGGACCCTGAGATCATGACCTGAACTGAAGGCAGAGGCTTAATCCACTGAGCCACCCAGGCATCCCCAGAAAAATGGTTTTGAAAGGGTTTGGAACAATTCAACACGTTAGAGAAGCTAACTGATTACCACGGGATTTCACTGCCCAAAGGGATTAGATGTGTGATAAATGTGTATTCAATATGAACACTGCAAGAGAACACAGCTGTTGATAAATGGTTTTGAACATTTAAAACATCTGAATTAGTACATTTATACATTTGATTTATGTATTTATGTATTTGATACATTGGATATATGAATCCCTTGAAAGCATATGACTTTGCCTTTTAGGTTAGTAAATCTTCCTCATTAGGTATTTGAAATTTGGAGGGAAATAAGAATATTCATAAGCATAGTATAAAATGAAGGGAACAGGGGTGCCTGGGTGGCTCAGTGGGTTAAAGCCTCTGCCTTCAGCTCAGGTCATGATCCCAGGGTTCTGGGATCGAGCCCCGCATCGGGCTCTCTGCTCAGCGGGGAGCTTGCTTCCCCCTCTCCTTCTGCCTGCCTCTCTGCCTTCTTGTGATCTCTGCCAAATAAATAAATAAGATCTTTAAAAAATAAATAAAATGGAGGGAACCTAATTAAATTTGTAAAAAATGATTCATCTATGGAAATTTAATCTGAAAACCCTATGAGTGAATGTACACTTGATGAATAAATATGTTTTGCCAATAAATCAATAATTTATTATTAATTAATTTAAATAGTTTGTTATTATTTAAAATTAAAAATTTTAAATCAAATTACAAATGCAAGTACTATTCTGATTTTGGTACAAAACCAACCAAATTTATTGATAAACTAACAACAGCTTTGAGTCCAACTTGAAGTCTTAAGAAAAACTAGGTTTTAAAACCTACCATTGTAATCCCATCTCTAGGTATTTACCCTGGAGAAATGAAAAATCAGCGACACACACTGCCCCCACCGGACAGACACACAGACATGCAAACTGTGTGTGAATGTTTACAGCAGCTCTCCTGATTATTGCCCAAAGCTGAGGTGGGGTCAGGGGAAGGAGATGTTGGTCTCGTGGAAACCGCTCAGATGTCCTTCCCAGATGAATGGCTAAACCGTGGTACCTCCATAAAGCAGGCTAGTACTCGACCATAAAAAGGAATGAAGCACCCATGTGTGTTTCACCGGGCATGAACCTTGAAAATGTTACCCTCAAAAAAAAAAAAAAAATTTAATATCCCACGCACTCTGTACCCCACTCACCCTCTCTGAGGATGGCAACCCCAGTACAACCAGTGGACTTAAAGATTGGTGACCCTCATAGAAACCATTAAAAAAAAATCCCGAGCTGCTCCCACCTGGAGAAATGTTGGCTACATTTAAAAATAAATTTAAATTTGTATTTTTAAGAGACAGTCAAACTGAGCAGTGGAAATAAGTTTGCCTCCTACTTTCATGGTTATTCTGGCTCCCCCTTTTAGGTAGGCTTCCCCCGTCAATGTTGGTGATCTTCAGGGATGTCCCAGGCCTGCTCCCTGAGCCTTCCAGACTGCAGATGGGTGGGGAAGTGGCCAACAGCAGTCCACCAGCTAATCTGGCCATTGCCTCTCTTGTATAAATAAAAATGTGGCTACAACATGGCCACGCCCATCCATGCATGAACACCTTTGCACCGTGAGGGACTGTATTGCCCTCAATGCCTAAAATATCTACCAACCCACCCTCTACAGGACAACTTTGCCAATCCCTGCTATAAACCAGTGTTGTCCGCCAGCTATACAACATGAATCGCCCAGGTAATTTAAAGTTTTCTAGTAGCTACAATTTTTAGAAAAGCCAAAAACAAGTAAAAATTGATCTTAACGATGTATTAACTCAATACACGCAAACAGTTATCATTTCAACATATAAGCAATATAAAAAATATGAATGAGATTTTTCTATCCTTCGTTTTTTTCGTACCAAGCCTTTGGAATCTGGTGTGGAGTTTTACACTCACAGCCTGGCCACATTTCAAGTGCTCGCTGGCAAAAGGGGCCAGTGGCTGCTTAACTGGACGGTGAAGGTCTTGGTGCCCCATTATTGTGAGGGGATCTATTTATTGAACATCTGACTTCCCCAGCTGATGGAAAACTCCCTGAGGACAGGGCCCTCACCTCACTGAGCCCTTCACCAGTCTGGGCACCTGCCAGTTGACTGATGGATGTCTGCCGACTGATTACACCGCACCCACCCTCCTTGATTCTCAGTCCAAGTCAGTACCTGCGGAGTCAGACTCTTCGATGGTGGAACACGCAATCTCCATCTTGTCCCCTTTGGCTTTCAAGTGAAAGGTCATGTTCTCTTCAGTGCATCCTTCCTTGATAATTTTGCTTTCAATTTCTAAAAGGAAATTGAAGTGAAAGGAACGTAAAGTGAAAGGAAATTGCGGTGAAGCGTCTGCCTTCAGCTCAGGTCACGATCCCAGCATCCTGGGATCAAACCCAGCATTGGGCTCCCTGCTCAGTGGGGGAGCCTGCTTCTCCCTCGGCCTGCTGTTCCCTCTGCTTGTTCGTGTGCTCCCTCTCTCTCCCCCTGCCTCTCTCTCTGACAAATAAGTAAGTAAAAATCTTTAAAAGGAGATAAAAGGAGATAGGGAGACTTTGCCTGAGGTCACTCAGAAAGGGAGTCCTGGATTTGATTTCTGTCCAAAAGTTATATATACCTCGTTGCAAACAACGAATAAAAAGGCCAGTTCATCACTTGGACAATCCTGAGCCCCTGATGAGCGACAGGAGGATGGGAGCCCCAGACAACTAAGAATCCCAGCGGGAGCTGTGAGAGTGAGCTCTTGCCCCAGAGGGGGTGCATCAGGGAAAGATGGGGTTGAAGTCAACAGTGATGGAAAGCAACGGTCACGACCCTCTAGCTACTCTGCATTTAGACAAGTTTTCTGAAGCCAAAGGGAAGAGGAAGGGGCTGGGGCAAACCCAGCAGACTGGACCAGGGCTCTGTCACTCACCAGCTGTGCCAAATGGAACAGTGACTTAAATTACCCTCTGAGCCGCAGGTCTCTGCGGCACGACCATAACTATAGGAGTCTTCATGAAAACAAACTAGGTAAAGGAACCGGAGGTTTTCTTTTTAAAATATAAGCCAGATCATGCCATGCCTGTTCTCAGACTCTCTAATTCTATGCCCCGCCCCCAATCTTCCTTCAGATGAAATCCTGAGTCCCCACATTCATCTGTGAAATCCACCTCTCCCCTCCGTTTCTGACTCCTTCTCCTGCAGGCTCTACGATTCTCTACTTCACTTTGGCCACGCTGGCCTCTCCACTGTTCCTTGAACTCACCAAATACGAACACGGCTCCCTTCCCATGTAAGCTAGGAAGGTCCCTCCCACGCCTGACCCTCTCAAGCCAACTTAGCCTGGCTGTATTTTTCTTTATAGCACTTTCTCCATCTCATATACTGGCTGCATTTACTGTGGGACTCAGCACGGTTGTCAAACAGAGAACACACTCCAAACCCTATCTGGCCACACTCTGAACTCAATGTCAGCCACTCCGTAAATGGGAGATGTTGTTCATATCCTTGGACTGGCTCTGTGACTTCTGTGACTTCAGAGGTTTGAAACCACTGGGGAAATGGGATATGGGAAAGTGGTGGAGAATCACATCGCCCAGAGCCCCGCTTCAAGCCAGCGCCCGGGTGTAACCTTGCCCTGTTACCTAAGTGTTCAGTCCGAACAGTCTGACTGACATTGGCCGAGGGGTTCAGGAAAGCTGCCAGCGTGCTGCTTTTCACACTCTCCAGGACCACAGTGGCCAGAGCGGAGGTCTCTTCTTTGGTGAAGTTGGACCATGTGGACGTTTGCTTGAGCACAGAGGCAAGGCTCTCAGCTGTATTCTGCAAGGAAAGGTGTTTGCATGCTGTGCATGCTCTCCCTCTTCCCAGACCCCTGGAACAGCAGCTGTTCCCTCTCCCTCCCCCTCCCTCTCTCTCCCTTCCACTCTCTCCTTCCTTTCTCTCTTCCTCCTTCTCCCTCTTTCCCTCTCTCTCTGGCCTCTCTCTTTCCCTTCTCTCTCTCCTCAAGAGAGTGTGTGACAGTCTAGACCAATGAAGAATTAAAAAGGCATCTACTCAGCTTCTTTTTCCTGATCCCAAAGGCCTCCCTGGGATGCAAAGTGGTGTAGCCTTTATTTTTTTTAAAGATTTTATTTATTTATTTGACAGGGAGAGAGACAGCTAGAGAGGGAACACAAGCAGGGGGAGCAGCAGGAAAAGAGGGAGAAAAAGGCTCCCCACTGAGCAGGGAGCCCAACATGGGACTTGATCCCAGGACCCCGGGATCATGACCTGAGCTGAAGGCAGATGCTCAATTGACTGAGCCACCTGGGTGCCCTGGCGTAGCCTTTAAATGAGCATGTGGAATAACATCGCGTGCACATAGCTCTGACCCAGCGATTTCGCTTCCTGGAATTAATCCTTCCAGAAATGCTTAAAAATTGTGTATATATATAGATAGATAGATAGATAGATAGATACACACACACTCACATACACACATTGTGTGTATCTATATATATACACACTGAAATACATTTTATATATATACATATATACATACACTGAAATACATGTATATATATACATATATACATAAAAATTATATATATATAATGTATATAGTATCTCATTTCACTGAGAAAACAAGTACTTTCATTAAAATGGTTGTACTTATGATATTACTGTTTCTGGCACATAGACATAAAAAGTAATCAATACTTACTATAACCCAGGTATTGTGTCTTATGTATGTTCATTTTAGGAAGATATCTGTGAAGTGGAGACTGTTGTGTCCATTTTTGGATGGGGAGACAGGACACACATCTAGGAGGTGGCAGAACTAAGACTTGAACCTTGGCAGGCTGGTATCAGAGGCTGAATCCTTCTAGTAGGTATTCACTGAATGGCTTCAGTGTGTGTGTGGGGGGGCATTCACAGAGTGGAAGGGTGTGGAAAGATACACATCCAAATGTTAACCATTGGGTGTTCCTCCATCGATTATGTCTATGATCAATGTTCCTCCATTGATTATGTCTATGGAGGAATAAAGGAAAGAATAGCAATAACAATATTAATATTAATGTTGATACGATTCCATTTACTGGTTGTCAGTAAGTTGACTTCTACAATGTGACTCTGACCCCAACAAAACAAAAATATGAAAAGGACTCACGACTTAATAAATATGAGGAAGAAATTAATTGACTCCAGACAGATGGGGAAGGAAATTAACTGAAATCCTGGTAGGAATACCAATTTCTATTTATCCAAACTGGGCAGTAGAAACATGAAAAGAGGGGCATCTGGGTGGCTCTGTCGGTTAAGGATCCAACTCTTGATACGGCTCAGTTCATGACCTCAGGGTCATGGGGTCCGCCCCTGCATTGGGCTCCACACTCAGTAGGGAGTCTGCTTGAGATTCTGTCTGTCTCCCCTGGCCCTCCCCCAGCTCTCTCTCTCTCTCACACAATCTCTAAAATTAATAAATAAATCTTTTTTAAAAACATGAAAAGAATTTCAGTAAAAACTGGATGACGGTACAACTTGAAAGTTGTTCCTTCTGGAGAAACAGGACGCGCTGAGTTCTGTAACCGTATCCCAATTGCAAGGCATGAGTGTAAGGATCCTCCCCACCAACGCAGAGAAAAATGTCAGGTAGAATCATCCTGCAAAAATGTGGTCCTCAATGGACCCTGGGGAGGGTATGTACTATCGTGAGCGCTGTGAAGTGTGTAAACCTGGCGATTCACAGACCTGTACCCCTGGGGCTAATAATACATTGTATGTTAATAAAAATATTTTTAAAAATCTTATAAATAAAAAGTTTTTGTGGGCTTTGAATCGGTTTAAAAAAAAAATACGGTCCTCAATTCTGTGGCTGAGGAAACCTCATTAAACTCCCTTTGAAATGTGAAATCTATTCTAAACTGGGAACACTGTTTTATTTCCTTGGGGAGGTAAAAAAAAAAAAAATCAGTAGGCAAACTTAGACTCCATGGGGTTAATACTCTTGTGTTCACTTTAGAAAGTTTTGTGATCTTTGGCATAATCTGGAAAACTTTTTGTTTTTAAGATTTTATTTATTTATTTGACAGACAGAGATCACAAGCAGGCAGAGAGGCAGGCAGAGAGACAGAGAGGAGGAAGTAGGCTCCCTGCCAAGCAGAGATCCTGAAGGGGGACTCAATCCCAGGACCCTGAGATCATGACCTGAACTGAAGGCAGAGGCTTAATCCACTGAGCCACCCAGGCATCCCCAGAAAAATGGTTTTGAAAGGGTTTGGAACAATTCAACACGTTAGAGAAGCTAACTGATTACCACGGGATTTCACTGCCCAAAGGGATTAGATGTGTGATAAATGTGTATTCAATATGAACACTGCAAGAGAACACAGCTGTTGATAAATGGTTTTGAACATTTAAAACATCTGAATTAGTACATTTATACATTTGATTTATGTATTTATGTATTTGATACATTGGATATATGAATCCCTTGAAAGCATATGACTTTGCCTTTTAGGTTAGTAAATCTTCCTCATTAGGTATTTGAAATTTGGAGGGAAATAAGAATATTCATAAGCATAGTATAAAATGAAGGGAACAGGGGTGCCTGGGTGGCTCAGTGGGTTAAAGCCTCTGCCTTCAGCTCAGGTCATGATCCCAGGGTTCTGGGATCGAGCCCCGCATCGGGCTCTCTGCTCAGCGGGGAGCTTGCTTCCCCCTCTCCTTCTGCCTGCCTCTCTGCCTTCTTGTGATCTCTGCCAAATAAATAAATAAGATCTTTAAAAAATAAATAAAATGGAGGGAACCTAATTAAATTTGTAAAAAATGATTCATCTATGGAAATTTAATCTGAAAACCCTATGAGTGAATGTACACTTGATGAATAAATATGTTTTGCCAATAAATCAATAATTTATTATTAATTAATTTAAATAGTTTGTTATTATTTAAAATTAAAAATTTTAAATCAAATTACAAATGCAAGTACTATTCTGATTTTGGTACAAAACCAACCAAATTTATTGATAAACTAACAACAGCTTTGAGTCCAACTTGAAGTCTTAAGAAAAACTAGGTTTTAAAACCTACCATTGTAATCCCATCTCTAGGTATTTACCCTGGAGAAATGAAAAATCAGCGACACACACTGCCCCCACCGGACAGACACACAGACATGCAAACTGTGTGTGAATGTTTACAGCAGCTCTCCTGATTATTGCCCAAAGCTGAGGTGGGGTCAGGGGAAGGAGATGTTGGTCTCGTGGAAACCGCTCAGATGTCCTTCCCAGATGAATGGCTAAACCGTGGTACCTCCATAAAGCAGGCTAGTACTCGACCATAAAAAGGAATGAAGCACCCATGTGTGTTTCACCGGGCATGAACCTTGAAAATGTTACCCTCAAAAAAAAAAAAAAAAGAAAAAAAAGAAAATGTTACCCTCAGAGTAAGAAGCCAGACACAAAAGACCACATCTTGTAGGACTCCTTTTTTACAACATACCCAGAACAGGTATGTCTACCAAGTCAGAAACCACACTGGTGGTTGCCAGGGGCTGGGGGAGGGAGGGATGAGGACCAGCTGCTTTGGGGGTACAAGTTTCCTTTTGGGGGGATGGAGGTGGTGGTTATACAATGCTGTGACTGTAGACGATGTCACTAACAGTTATACAAAAATAAGAATTGGAAAAAAAATAGAATTGGAACTATTGATCACAACCTTGATGAATCTCAAAGGCATTATGCTGAGTGATAGAAGCCACATCCTGGGGCACCTGGGTGGTTCAGAAAGTGAGACGCCTGCCTTCAGCTCAGGTCATGATCCAGGGGCCTGGAATCAAGCCCCACCTGGGCCTCCCTGCTCAGCAGGAAGCCTGCTTCTCCCTCTCCCTCTGCTTCTTCCTCTCCTTCTGCCTCTATCCCCTGCTCATGCTCTTTCTCTCTCTCTCTTTCTCTCTCCCTCTTTCTCTCTCCCTCCCCAAATAAATAAATAAAAATCCCTAAAAGAAAGAAAGAAAGAGGGAGGCAGAGAGCAAGAAAGAAAGAAAGAGAGAAAGAGAGAAAGAAAGAAAGAAAGAAAGAAAGAAAGAAAGAAAGAAAGAAAAAGAAAGAAAGAAAGAAAGAGGAAGGAAGGAAGGGGCCACATCCCGTATGATTCTATTTATATACTATTCTTGAAAAGACAAGACTCTAATGACGAAAATTTACTGGGGCTGGTGGTGGAGGGAGGATCTGACAATAAAGGGGAAGCCCCTGGGGTGCCTGGGTGACTCAGTCGCTAAGCGTCTGTCTCCTGCTCAGGTCATGATCCCAGGGTCCTAGGATCAAGCCCCGCATCACATCGGGCTTCCTGCTCAGCAGGAAACCTGCTTCTCCCTCTCCCACTCCCCCTGCGTGTGTTCCCTCTCTCACTGTGTCTCTCTCTGTCAAATAAATAAAAATAAAATCTTTAAAAAAAAAAAAAAAGGGCGGGAAGCCCCAGGGAGAGTTTGGGAAGGAAAAGGAACTGCTCCATATTCTGATGGTGGTGGTGATTACACAGATCTATTTACATAATAAAACTCATAAAACTGGACAGAGAAGGGCAACCTGACTGCATGCTACATTTTAAAACCTTATAACTGTAATAAATTACAGGATAACTTGGCCCATTAATTATAAAGAGGACTTTCTGTACCCCATGTGTTCCCCAAGATGTCTGAAGCTCAAACCTGATTACGAAGACTTTCTTGTTACCTTCAGAGAGACCTCAGCTGTCCTGTTTCCGCAGGCATCGTCCAGAACACTGAAGGTGGCATTCATTAATGTGCAGAAGGAACCCTGTGCCCCAGAGGAAGAGCACGAGTGAGCACTGACCAGTCAATGCCCCAGCATGCAAAGCACCCACTGGCCACCCAGTCCACCATAAGGGTGGTCCTAAACTCCTAAGGTGTCAGGAAGCTCTAGAATTCTCAGGAAAACAGAAACTCACCATTTGAGCAGAACTGGAGCCACGGAAGCTTTCTCTTCAATGAATAAAAGAAACAAATGCAAAGAAACAGCAAAACTACTTGGGCGGGGTGGTCAAAGATGGGGGAATGTATGAAAAAAAAAATCCAGTGGTCCAAATCGATTATGATTCAGCCACAAAGAGGAATAAAGCATTGACACCAGCTATAATGTGGATGAGCCTTGGAAACATCATACTCAGTGAGAGAAGCATGCACACACCAAAAACCACGTACTGTATGATTACATTTGTATGAAATATGCAGAATAGACCAATGGATGGACACAGAGAGCATATCAGTGTCTACCAGGGGCCAGTTCCTCCAGGAGGCACTGGAGGACAATGTTGTTGGGGATACAGTTTCCTTTGAGGGGATGAAAATGTTTGAGGGCTAGAAGTGATGATTGCACACCATTGTAGTATATTAATTGCACTGCAACAAAATTTATGATGTACTCTATGCTGGCTAGATGAACACTTAAAAAACTTTTTAAATAAAAAATAAAGTGTTGGAATGGTGACGTTTTAGGTGTATCTCACCACACTCTTTTCAAAAAGCAACAGCAATGGTCCCAAGTGCATGGGAATTCCCAAGCTAATTTATAAGCTCATCTTGAAAATTGTGACATCAATTCCTAAAGATGCTCGTGGAGGCTCGAGTTTCTGGAACAACTTCATTGGAGAATCAGGACATCCAAATTCCTCTTTGCCTGGCCCAGGGGCTGTGCATCACCCCTCCCACATCATACAGACACAGCACCAGCACCCTCACGGGTAATGAGACTCCAACATCCTTTCTTCTTTTAGTGAAAGAACTCCCAAGTTTTAGATAGGCAAATATCCTCCCTTCTCAGCTTTCCTTAAAGCCAGATATAAACAGAAGTGATACTGGGTTATACTCTTAAAGAGAAGAACTATGCCTTTCACTTTGCCCTCCCTGCTGCCCACCAGCTGAAATGCAAACATGATGGCAGGGGCTGGAGCAGCCATTTTGGGCCACAGAGTGGGAAGCTTGTGTTGATGATGGCAGAGCATTTAAGGAGCCATCCCACCAATACTCCACAGCTGACCCTCAGATTGTTTACAAGGAGAGAAATAAACTGTTATACAATTTAAGTCACCATTATTCTGGCCTTTGTTAAAACTGCGAAACAACATCCCACCTGAGTGGCTTCTAGGGACCTTCTAGGAACTTCTAGAAGTTCTTCTAGGAAACTCAAGATCTAGGAACCTTAAAAATACTTACATATTCAGGCTCCACTGCTGCTCCCACTTGGCAGAGCTGGACTTGTTCATTGTTGGGTATCACATCTTCTTTACACTTGAAGGGAGTCCCTAGGAAGAAAACAAAAGCAACCAAGTTAAAACTCAACCACAGCAAGCTATGATTAAAAGTCAAGTATGATTTCATGATCCCCTGCTTCAAATCCATCCATTACCAGATTATATGACAGCCACACATTGAAACATCAGGGACTCTGAGAAGCAGGAGACTGAGTGGAAAGAGCAGGTTAGCAAAGACCACCCAGTGCATGAGGCCATTTTTATAATACTCCAAAGCAAACAAAACTAAGGGACATATTGTTTAGGGATGCATACATGGGAAGCATTTTTTTAAAGTAGGGGAATTATAAACACAAATTTCCAAATAGTCCCCTCTGGGAGGACTGAGGGAGATCCAATGGGGAAGGAGCATATAGAAAACACAATGGCACTGATGATATTCTAGCTCTCATGTTGGCGAGGACCCTGAATGTATTCCTTTTATTATTATACTTCATTGCCTCCAGGTAAGCTACCTCTATTTTTAATGTATCAAGTCATCTACAATTTCAAAAAATTTAAACCATTCACTTCCCTATCATTTTCAGGAGGAAAAAAATATCTCCGAAATTCCTCATGTGGCTCACCAGTTCCTGCAGGATCTGACCCCTGCCCACATCCTCAGGTGCACCTAATGCCATTTCCCCTGGTCCTGACTCTGTGTTAACCTCAGGGCCTTTGCACATGCCATAACCCGTCACACTGAGCTCTCCACTTTTCATCTAGATAATTCCTACCCTTCCATCAAACTTCAACTTAAATGTCACTTGCCCAGAGTATATAAAATCTCATTACTCACTCTGAATCATACTATGATTTTTGGGGGAGTCACACTCATTGTTCTTATTAAATAATAATGTGTGAGCTCTCTACTTCCTTCCCTAGACTATAAACTACATGAAGGCAAATATCATGTCCATCACATCCAGGACTGAATCATCAATGACTAGTGCAGGGGCCTGTTTGACTAATAGATGTTCCAAGAATAATTTATTGAATGAGTAAATTAATCAATAAGTGAATGAATACCTTGGAAAAGAGAGAATTATAGATGAGGTAGAGGTAAGAGGAAGATCCAGAGTTTGAATAGGTTGAGGATTTCACAACCAAACCAAGACAGATTCCATTGCCAAGAGACACAAAGAGATGATTACTTTTGCAGCTGAAGTTCAAGGAGCCTTCAGGATTGCGTTGAAAGCCTCCAATGCAGCTACAGCTGTAGGAGCCCAAGGCATTGGTGCAGACAGAATTGGGGCCACATGGTGATGGATCTTGGGAGCATTCATCAATATCTGCAAAGAACTTGAGAATATCAAACAACCCAGAAGAACCAGGAGATACTTCTTTCCAGGGATGTACAGCAAACCCTCTTCTCACCTCTACAATGGACTCCTTGTTCTGTGAAGCTCGGCTGTCCATTACTTGGTGCAAAGCCAGGAGAGCAGGTGCAAAAGTAGCTCCCAGGGGTGTTGGTGCACGTTGCGTTGGAAGGGCACATATGGAGGCACTCATCAACATCTATAGTGTAGAGAATGGGCATGAGGCAGAGTTGGCTAGCAATCCTACAAAAGTCGTGCTTCCAATGCATAGAGTTATCCCTAAAAAATGGTAACCCAAGCAGGGACTACATTTCCCAGAACCCTCTGCCTCTAGGTGGGGCCATGTGACCAGTTTTCATGTTCAGAATAGGAGCAGATATGACATTTGTCACTTCTGGGCCAAGGTGGTTGCAAAGCGGGTGTGCTTTCTCTTTTTCCCACCACTGGCTGAAACAGGGATTCCAAAGCCATAAGCAATATGAGAACCAACAGGTGCAAGAAAATGGTGTGGAGAAAAGCTGACCACTGGCCAGGTATGTCTATATTGGATAGTAATGAGAGTAAGAAATTTCTGTTAGTGTTAAGCTGGTGATTCTCAGCTGAGGGCAGTGTGTCCCCTCTACCCCCTGCCAGGGGACATTGGGCATTGTCTGGAGATATCTTTGGTTGTCGTGACTGGGCTAGGGGTAGAGGGTGATGTGGTAGGTAGAAGCCACAGATACTGCCAAACATCCTGTACTTCCCAGGACCGCCTCCCACCACAAAGAACTATCTAGCCCAAAACATCAGTAGCACCAGAATTGAGGAATCCTGGCCTGCCCATATAGGGTAACGCCAGGTCACTGTGGCACTATGGGGTTACCTCTCCTTCTGGGGGTTTCTGAGCCATATGGGATATATGGAATAGAATGTCCTGGGAAAAAATAAGCAGGAGGGAGGTAAGGACAACAGTTTTCATATTCCTCTGTCAATTCACAAAACAGGAGGAATAAACAGGCAACATCCATTAGTGGTCTGTGCAAGTACACAGTGTGTTATACCGGGCATTACCATGGAGCATTGGGAGAAGTCCTTATGATATGAACGTAGACTCATTTGGAGATCTCAAAGGACAGGAGAATGACCCACAGTTGGAAGGTACAGGGAGGTGGTTTTCCTCTTGATGTCACAGAAAGTATCTCTAACCAAAGAGTGCCCTTCTTTTAATAGGGAGCTCCCCATTGACAGACACATTTAAGTGTCTGCTAGGTGGAACACTCGACAGAAATAGCACATATGGGGGGCGCCTGGGTGGCTCAGTTGGTTGTCTGCCTTCAGCTCAGGTCATGATCCCAGGGTCTTGGTATCGAGCCCTGCATCCGGCTCCAGGCTTAGCAGGGAGCCTGCTTCTCCCTCTACCTCTCCCCTCCACTTGTACTCTCTCTCTCTCTCTCTCTCTCAAATAAATAAAATCTTTTTTAAAAAAGGAAATAGTGCCCACAGCAACTCCATGTGCAACTAATGAATCGTTGAACACTACATCAAAAACTAATGATGTACTACATGTTGGCTAACTGAACATCATCATCATCATCAGAAATAGCCCTTAAAAAATAGCACAAGGAGAATTTACATCTTGCATATGGAGCTGGACTAGCTGCGTGGTTTTCGAAACTATTTTGGCTGGGGAACCCTTCCTTCATGCAAAGTGAAAACTACTGAGTAGGTAAAACAATTAAGAGCGGTGATAGTCTGAGTGTCAAGGGGTCCTGAGAAGACGCCTAGCAGCCTGGAATGCTGTACCAGTTTCTCTCTACGGTCCCTCTCAGATTTGCCTCTCTGCTGTTCTCCCTCCAGCAACATCAGCAGCTGGTGAAGATCAGTGAATGAAAAGAACATTTTTAATGAAAAGAAGCACGTATTTGCCGTGAGAAGGGGGGGAAGGTCAAAGAACATAAGACATGTTCCTTAGTAGAGTAGATCCTCCAGAGATGGCCGCCATCAGTGCCTCCGTTTCCTGTGTGCAGATCTTGTTCCCCCAGCAAGATGGGGAGTTAATTTCCCCTTCGTTGGCGTCTAGCCTGGCCCCGGGACATTGGCTGGGAGAACGTGGCAGAAGCAACGTTCTGGGACTTCCAAGCCCAGGTCTTACAAGATCCCAGTTTCTGCTTCCTTCCCCTTGCAGCTTCCCTTCCTGGAAACTAGCTGCCATGCTCTGAGGAAGCCCAAGAATCCACGAGGATGGGCCCACGAGGGAAACTGAGGGGCCTAGCTGAGCTCCCAGCCAGATACCAGCACCAACTACGAGCCACGTAAGTGAGCCTGTTTTGGACCTGGCAGCCATCCTAGTGACCCAGAAAAAGCATTTGGTCAGCCCACAGAATCACGAGCAAGCACAGAGCCTTGTTTGTAAGCCCTACTTTTCAGGGTGGTTTGCCATGGGCGGAAAGCGCCTGGCACACCTTCGAGCATTACCTACACATCTGAAATCCTCCGAATTCTCAGGGGTCCAAACAGCAGGTGAAAAGAACCCAGGCAGGCAGGAGCAATTGTATTTTCCCAGGGTGTTGATACAGATGGAATCCAGGCCGCAAAGAGTTGAGTTCCTGGCACATTCGTCCACATCTAGGCAGGAAACCAGTCTAAGTCAAAAGGATGAAGGATGCCTAGGGCATGGCAGAGCACAACCCCACCCAGACCGGAGCCAGTGAAGCTCCTGGGCTCTTCTCGCACCCTCCTAAACTCTGCTGAAAGGAAGGGCAAAGAGGCAGGTCTGTGACTCACACAGAACTCCTGATGAGGCTCTCTGTGGCACGGCATAAAAATCCAAACTCCTCATCAGAACACAGGAGACCCCAAGAGTCTGGTCCCACTGAAGCTCACCGAGCTTATCTTTCATGTCTAATCCCCTGGTAATTCCTGATCCCGATTCACTGGTTACCTGTAGGTTCGTGAAGGCTTATTCTCTGCTCCCTCAGCCTGGAACTCACTGGCCTCACTCTTTCTTTCATAAATCTCAATTCCTTTCCAAGGAATCACTATGTTATCAATAACAATGATTAAGAGGTGTCTGAGTGGGGTTGGAGGGCGCAGACAGCCTGGGCTCCCAGCCTGGCTCTGTCCCTATAGTCTGTGTGTTACTGGGAGCTGTGCACTGAATGATTCACCACCCTACACACCGAATTCATATGTGAAAGCCCTAACACTCTGTGGTGTTTGGACATGGGGCCTTTGCAAGATGATGAGGTTGAGAGGAGATCTTAAGATGGGATCGATGCCCTTCAAAGAAGAGGAAGAGACACCAGAGCTCAGTGAGGATGCAGCATGAAGGTGGTCATCCAGAAGCCAGGAAGAAAGCCCTCTCTGACTGACCATGATCTCAGACTTCCAGCCTCCAGAAGAGAGACAAAATAAATCTAGTTGTTGAACCCGCCCCATCTGCGGCATTTTGTTCCGGCGGCCCAGAGCTGACTAATGCGTGGACAAGATAATTCGCCTCTGTGCATCTCAGCACCATCATCTGTCAGTTGGGCACAGGGACAATACTCACCCCACTGGGTTGTTTGGAGCATTAAATAAGGTGATGTCTGCGAAAGCCTCAGAAAAGAGCCCAGAGGATAGCAAGTCTGAGCTAAGTATTTGCTAACCAAAATAAAAAATTAGCTGGTGACATGTTGAGATTTTTGTGACAGGTGCTGAGGGAGATCCTACATGCACCTGCTCAAGGAATGCTGCCAGCAGCCCCCGTGAGGTGTGCACCAACATTATTTCCGTTTTCCAGATAAGGAAACTGAGGCTTCACAGTTATCGCACAGCCTGTGAAAGGCACACCCAGGATTTAAAATCAGGCTCTGTCTGGTTCTGGAATTGTTAGAGGACCGCTTCCCAGGCTGTCTTGAGTCAGAGTCTGGGAATTCGGGGGTTACATGGATGCCGACCCTAGACAAGCCCCCACCCTGGGTTGCTGGAGGTGGCAGCCTCACATGAAGGCCGAATAGCATGATGGTTAGAGCACAGGGTGTGCAGTTACACTCAACGGCATTCGGATCCGGACTCCCCTGCTTCCTATCTATTTGACTGCGGGAGACTGTTCCAGCACAATGGAGGTTCAGTTTCCTCATCTCTACAATGGGTATAAAATATACTGACACCATCAGGTTGTTGGGAAGACAGTGAGCACGTGAGTGGAAAAGCACAACACCTTGGCCGGGATTCTGACTCCCAGCCTCCGTACCTGCTGTTTCTTCCTCCTGGAACACCCTTCCCCAGATACCCAATATCTCACTCCCTCACACCCTTCACATCTTTTCTCAAATATCAGCTTCTCAACATAGCCTTTCCTTACCACCCTATTCGATGGAGACCCCCATCCTCAGCACTCCCTGTCCACATTCCTGCCTTCTTTATCTTTATCTCCTTCAACTATTCCTGGCACACTCTGTTCATGATTTCTATTGCTATCTATCTCCCCAAATGCTGGATGATGAGTTCCAGGAGAGCAAATAATTTTGCCTCTGTTAGTTACTGCTGTATCCGCCATCCCTAGAATAGTGCCCAGCATACAGAAGGTGCTCATGAAGTATTTGCTGATGAGTGAAGGAGTGAATGAATGAAGGAAGGAAGGAAAGAGTGATTATTGGCTTCAGCTTAGCAGGGGAGGGCTTTGAGCTCAGCCCAGACTCATTCAGACCCTTCCCCTACCAGGGCTGTCTTGGCCAATGGACTTGGATCTTGTTCCCCAACAAATCTCTCCCACCTACCTTCACATGTCTCTCCTGGGCCCTGGATGTTCCCGTTGCCACTGCTAGATTCAAACCCTAGGTTGCAGACACAAGAGTAGCTTCCAGGACTGTTGTGGCAAGTCGCATGCTCTGGGCAAATTCCGGGATCAGCACATTCATCCACATCTGATCAGTGGAAATGAAAACCCAAGTCAAAATGGATAAAGAAGTAAGAACAGGAGTCAGAAAACAGACTTGCCGTGCATGTTCTCCCCTTCCCCCTCATCTCCCTTGCAGTTAGGCATGGCCGTGAGAATTAATTCTGGCCCAGTGTATGTAAGAGGAGAGTGGTAAATAGCTCCAAAGAGTAATGACCATAGACATGGCCATCCTTCTTTACTCTCCCCCTGCCTACACCATGGTGCCAATCAATGTGACTTTTTGCCACTCCTCTTTAAGCTGTGGAGCTTGTGTCCCCACTCCTTGAATCTAGCTGGCGTATGACTTCTGCTGGCCAAAGGAATGTGGCAGAAGTGATTTGGTGCCAGTTCCATATGCAGACTGCTAGAGAAGTTCTTTGCTTCTGCTCATTCTTTGGGATCCTTGCTTCCTCCATATGAACAAGCTCTAGACTCACCTAACAAGAATGAGAGACAAAGTAGAAGAAAGATGAAACATCCCAGATCATCCCCCTGGCATGCTAGGCAGCCCAGCTGAGATGAGCAAAGCTGACCCTCAGCTGACCACAGATACATAAGAAGCCCAACAGAGACCCAAGGAACTGACGGGCAGAGCCCAACCTAAACTTCCAATGTACAAAATAGAAAGCCAAATAGATGGTGTTAGTTTCTAGCCACTGGCTTTCAGACTGATTTGTTACTCAGCTTAGCTAACTGCTATAAGTGGATCAGAAAAATCAGAGAGGACTTCAAATATCTCTCAGTCCAAGCCAAGGGGATGTGATAAGGGCTTGATCACTCCATGCCTTGCTTGACGGGGTCACCCTCCCTCCAAATGAGCATGGAGAACAGTAGTACTGCACAACACTCAGGAAGATGGAGCCCTTGCATCTCGTGAGAACATTCTGGCTACAGTTTGGAGAATGGATTTGAAGGTCAAGACTGGAGGAAGGGAAAGCCCAGTGAGGAGGCTGGTAAAATAGCAGGGAAACCCAGACCGAGGATGGGAAGAATGGAGAGATTTGAGACATATTTAACAGGTAAATTCCCCGAGATATGATGACTGATTTAATATGGAGGTGTGGGGAGGAGGGCGTCTAGGGTACAACAGATTCTCTATACCTTCACAGGCGGAGTTGTGAGATAGGAATCCACTCTGGCAGCTGCATTCATAGCTTCCCAAGGAGTTGACACACTCTGCATGCTCTGGGCAGAGGCCACTGGAGAGGCACTCGTTGATGTCTGAGGAGCAGTAGAGGAGAGTGGGCAGACCGAAGATGGTGTGTCTAATGTGAGGGACACATGTATCCAACTCAAGTGATCACTGTTCACCAAAAACTCATGCCCAAGAGCATTACCTCTGCAGGAGAAATTATCTGGATTTCCTGGGATCCAGTCATTTCCAGTGGGAGAAGAGAAACCAGGGATACAGCTGCACTTGTACCTCCCCAGAAGGTTTCTGCAGACTGAGTGGGGACCACATCTTGAGGAGCTTTGAGAACATTCATCTATATCTGGACACAGAAAGAGCTGGAGTTACAAATTTGCCTCATCTTGTGTAGCAGATTGTATTTTCAAAGATGGCAGAAATGAGGTCTTCCATGCCATATGCACTTCATTCTATGTGAATTTGTATTCCTTCTGGAAAGCAGTAGGGTCTCTATTCCCTCCCCTTGGATCTAAGCATGCTGTGACCGTGAGGGTGGTGATTCTAAGTCATAAAGACACCATGCATTCCCTCCTTGTTCTCTTGGAACTTGACCACCATACTGTGAGGAAGCCCAAGCAGCCATGAAAAAAGCAGCTCACATGGTGAAGACCCAAGACCCTCAGCCCACAGCCCTGGTGCAGCAGCCAGCTGGAGGCCAGCACCAGCTACCAGCCGTGTGAGTGTGCTCTCTTTAAAGTGGACCCTCTAGCCCCTACTGGAGCCAACTGAACTGACACTGCATGGAACAGAGACAAGCCACACTCACCAAACTCAACCCAGATGACAGAGACATTCATGAACAGAATAAATGGTTGCCCTTATTTTCATGTACAAAAATTGCAGGTGTTCTGCTACCCAGCAGTAGACTGTAAAATAACAATTTAGGACACCTGGGTGGCTCAGTCAGTAATTGGCTGCCTTTGGCTCAGGTCATGATCCCAGAGTCTTGGGATCGAGTCCCACATCGGGATCTCTGCTCAGCAGGGAGCCTATTTCTGTGTCTGGTTGCCACGCCCCCTGCTTGTGTGTATTCTCTCTCTCTCTTTCTCTCTGACAAATAAATAAATAAATGTCTTTTTCTAAAAAAAGAATAATTTGCAAAGCCACATAGAACAATTTACTCATTTGAGGACCCATAAAATTGTCCAGTTGTGGTACCATGGTGTGGTCCAGCACAAGTTTCCTTCAGCCCTGATCTGCCAAGTCATCCTAAACCCTTGCTATATACTTGTCATGCAAATACAGCTTCAAGGCAAGTCCCTTACAGCCCCTCCCAGAAATTGTGCCCTTCCTAGACAGAAATCTGGAGCTGCCCCTGTACATCAAGATCAGACCACAGGAATGTTCATCACGCCTTTATCTAATGCAGTAAAACATTAGAAACAACCAATTAAGGCTGATTAAATCTGTAGTTGACATAAAGAAGGAGGTAACATGTTCCTTCATTCAACAAGTATCTATTGGATACTCACAAGATATCAGGCCCCATAGGAGGATCAAAGACGTAAAGGAGATGAAATCCTTGCTGCAGTAGTCATAATTTTCTAGATGGGGAATGTTGGTTTCGACCCAAATTTTGAAACCAGGGCCCATCAGGACTATTGAAGCTTACCAAATAACCCACGAACTGTAACCCAAAGGTAAAGAAAGATTTGGGAACACTCTGGGTACTACAACAATAGAAATGAATTCTCTTTTTCAGAGCCCAGCAAAGTACAGCTCAGGGGTCAAATCAGTCTACCACCTCTTTGTATAAATAAAGTTTTGTTGGAACAAAACCACACACATTCATTCGTTTATCGCCTATGGCTGCTTTCTCACTACAACTGGAGTATTAAGTAGTCATGAGAGAGATCATTCCGCTTGCAACCTCCAAAACATTTAGTCTTTGGCCCCTTGCACAAAAGAGTTTGCCAACCCCTGGTCTTATTCAGAGGCACAGTCAGATCTTGACTCTCAAGGGGAGAACTGGGATCTAAGCATAAAAATGCAAACAAAGAACTTCGCTCATTCTGGGGATTATTTCAAATTATGCTACTTACATCGATAGTACCTCTTGTACTGTGCCTAGCACACTGCATACACATGACTGCATTTAATTTTCCCAACTATCTTTTGAGGTGGGTAGTCTTATACACTCATTCTACAGATGGAAACATTGAGGCTTACAGAGGGTAAATATGTTTCCCCAACACCTCACGACTAGGTGATGTGATTCAGAAACTGCTGTTAAAGTCAGAAAGATGTGGGTCAGGAGGTCAGTTCAACCGCACGACCCTGAATGAGTCATTCCAATGCCCCAAGCAGTTTCCTCCTCTGTATGGTAGAGATCATCATGGTAGAGATGCCTGAACTCAGTTTAATGTAAAAATGTATAGAAAACCCTTCACAGGTGACCCGGCACTCAGTGAATGTTAGAAAGTCTTGTTTTCTGCATGGAGAGACAACCAAAAGGAGGTTACCCAAAAGGAAATCAGCAGTTATTTCTGGATATTGACAAACAACATGGTTTTTACTTTCATTTTCATCCTAAAGCTAGCTCTGAATTGTTGGAACATTGAGTGAGCAGGAATCATTGTCATTATAGAAAAAGAAAGAAAACAATGATGGACTGTGTGTTGGATAATTGAATTTAAATTTTAAAAATTTGAGAAAGAAAAAAAAGTTAAGGGAGGGAGAGGGGGAGAAAAAAATGTTTGGGAAAAAGCACCTACATCCACATCCACTACCCAGCCAGCTTCCACCTGATTTCCCTGTAACATGCTGGCGGGTTTTGAGGGGGTGCATACTTACCTTTGCATGTCACTCCTGGGCCCCTGAACTGTGTCAGTCCGTTGCTGGACAGAAAGCCTCGTTTGCAAGTGCAGTAGTAACTATCCAAAGTGTTGGTGCAGGTTGCGTAGGCTGGGCACGTGGTGGTATCCAGACACTCATTCACATCTGGACAGTACAGAAGGAAGAGGTCAGGTTAGAGCCCCAGGGTGGGCTTCAAGGGGAGGCAGCATGAGAGCATGAAGAGGACTATTCTGGGCTGAACTATGCCCCCCCAAAATATGCTGATGCCCTAAACCCTGGCCCCTGAGAATGCAACTTTATTTGGAAGTAGGGTCTTTGTAAATGTAGTTAAGACCTCAGCAAGGATGAGATCCTTCTGGAGTAGGATGTCCCTTAATCTGATATGATTGACGTCCTTATAAGAAGAGGAGAAGAGGCACAGAGACAGGCTCAGGGAGACCCCCACGTGGGCGACAGAGGCAGAGGCTGGAATGATGTGCTTCCAAACCAAAGAACCAAGGATTGCCGGCCACACCAGAACCAACTCTCCCTTGGAGCTGTCAGAGAAAGCATAGCCCAGCAGACACCTTGAATTCAGACTTCTGGCCCCCAGAGCAGTGAGAAAATAGATTTCTGTTCTTCTAAGCCCCCTGGTTGGTTGGCAACTGGTTACAACAGCCCTGGGAAACTGCTCAGTGCTGTCAAGTGGGAGCATCGGCACGGCCTGGGAGTTTGAGGGAAACGCAACTCCTCAGGCCCCACCCCAGAACTGATAAACCAGAATCTGCATTTTAACAAGACCCTTGGGTGACCTGGGCACCCAGGAAAGTGTGGGATGCACTGACACGGACATTTGTTCATCCAAGCGTGGTCCTCAGATCCACGGCATCTGCCTCACCTGGGTCCCAGATCTGGGAAAAGCAGATGCTGAGTCTACAGGTCTAGGAAGGGGCCTGACATTCTGCATGTCTCCCAAGCCCCAGAATGATGCTGATGATGGTGGTCCCAGGACCACCATCATGAGCATCATAACTCTAGACACAAGAGTCTGAGACTCAACATTTCGGCCTTTGGAGCACGGAAGACCTGGGTTAAAGCTCCAGCAGCAAACCTCCACACGGAGAAGAGCAGCTATTCCCCCAGACCCATCTCCCCAGCTTCCTTTTAGTAACATGACCATCCAGTCAAAAACTGCATTCCCAGAATCTCCTGCAGCTAGACATGACCACGTAGCTAAGTTCTGCCCAATGGGCACATGAAGAAATGATAAGCATACTGTTCGTTCATTCCCTTCTCTCTGGGCTGGAACATGGACAGAGAGGGCTGATCTATCCTTCACCATGGGGATGATGGTTTGGGAAACCGCGAATGGAGAGGCAACAAGCCAGGAGACACCTGGGAGCTGGGATGATCTGGGCAGCCCCGTCACCCTGTTCCATCTACAAGTTGAAGATGTACGAGGAGAAAAAGGATGAACTTCTAAGAAATAAATTTCCAAGAAATAAATTTCCAAGAAATAAAATTTCCAAGTTGTTTTGTTTCTGTGGAAACAGTCAAAACGACACCCTAGCCAGTCCAGCTCTGGGACCAGTGATTCCACCTCTCTGTACCTCTGTTTACCTGTTTAGTCTTCACCCTCAGATCCAATGGGTCCCCAAGTCCTGTTGGTTCTCTGTCCAAGTAGCATTTGGCATCTACCTGCTTTTCTCCATCCCCATAGACCTTCCTCTGGATTCTACATCCTTAAATCCTCCATTGTCCCCTCCAATCTTTTCTCCACATAGTAGTCATCTCTGAATACAAATTTGATCATCTACCCCTACCCCTGCCTACAGTGCTCCTACACTGTACTGCCTACAGTGTCACACTCAGAATTAAAACCCAAACCACTTAACAGGACCCATGAGGCCCCAGTGACGAGACCCAACCACATCTTTAAGCTTCTCATCTCATGGTAGTTCCATTTCCAGACTTCCCACCTCAGGGCCCTAGCATATGCTATTCCCTTGACCTCTGCTTTGCCTGACCCATTCCTATTCATTCCTTAGGTCTTGCTTAACTGTCATTTCCTCCAAAAAGCCTCCCTTGACGCTCCCAAGGTTTCCTGAGCTCCTCCTCTATGACACCTACCATAATTACAGTTGCTCTATTATTTATACAATTAGCTTTTTTTATTATTGTTTTGTTTATTTGACAGACAGAGATCACAAGTAGGCAGAGAGGCAGGCAGAAAGAGAGAAGAGGAAGCAGGCTCCCCGCAGAGCAGAGAGTCTGATGCAGGGCTCAATCCCAGGACCCTGAGATCATGACCTGAGCTGAAGGCAGAGGCTTTAACCCACTGAGCCACCCAGGCGCCCCACGATTAGCTTTTTAATGATCATTTCCCCCGCCACACTGTGAGCTCCAGAAAGACAAAGCCAGAGGTGGAGGCAGGCTTCTAGGTGCCTGGGAAGAGACTTATTTGATATTATCATTCCTGTGGTCATCAGAATAATGCCCCTTGGTAGACGACCACATCCTAATCCCCGGAACCTACGAATATGCTATGGTACGTGGCAAGGGAGCACTAAGGTTTCAGATGGAATTAAGATTGGCAATGAACTGGCCATGTGTACCCCAATGTCCACAGCAGCAATGGCCACAGTTGCCAAACTGTGGAAAGAACCAAGATGACCTTCAACGGACAAATGGTTAAGGAAGATGTGGTCCATATACACTATGGAGTATTATGCCTCCATCAGAAAGGATGAATACCCAACTTTTGTAGCAAGATGGACGGGACTGGAAGAGATTATGCTGAGTGAAATAAGTCAAGCAGAGAGAGTCAATCATCATATGGTTTCATTTATTTGTGGAGCATAAGGAATAACACGGAGGACATGGGGAGATGGAGAGGAGAAGGGAGTTGGGGGAAGCCAGAGGGGGAGACGAACCATGAGAGACTGTGGACTCTGAGAAACAAGCTGAGGGGATTTTTTTGGGGGGTGGGGATGGGTAAGCTTGGTGGTGGGTACTGAGGAGGGCACATATTGCATGGAGCACTGGGTGTGGTGCATAAACAATGAATTCTGGAACACTGAAAAGAAATTTAAAAAATAAAAAAAAAATTTTAAAAAGATTGGCAATCAGCTGATCCCAAGATGAAGAGATTATTCTGGATTAACCAGATGGGGCCAATGTAATCACAAAGGTCCTTATAAACAGAAGGTGAAGCCAGCAGAGGCAAAGTGACACAACGTAAGAAAGACCTGGCCAGTCATTGCCAGCTTTGGAAGTGGAGGAGGGACACAAGGCAAGGAATCCAGGAGGCCTCTAGAGGCTGGAAAAGGCAAAAAGACAGATTATCCTGCAGAACCTCTAGAAAAGAACGCAGCCCTGCGGACACCTTGATTTTAGCCCAATGGGACCTACTTTGGACCTCTGATCTCCAGACCCGCAAGGTAATGTTTTTGTTGTGTGACACTACCAAGTTTGTTAATTGGCTAGAGCAGCCTTAGTATACTCATACAATTCCCATTACACAGATGTGGACAACTGAAGCTCAGGGAGGTTAAATAACTTGTCCAAGGACACACAGCCGGTGAGTGGCATCTCCACTCACTGGAGTGAGTGATTTTTACTACTGCTCTCCAGGAAGAGGTAAATCTGGCTGGAAATGAAGTTAATTTTCAGATAATTTCTAAAACAATTCTTTGTTAAAAAACAAAACAAAACAACTTCTGTGATTGATTAAGTCTGTTGTCCTGATGGACTTTGAGCTCCTGGAAGGCAAGGATTTGTATCTGTCATTCACTGATGTGCGCTGAGTGCATACAATAGTGCCCAGTACACAGTCGGTGCTCAATAATGAAGACCTTGCTGAGATGCTAACATTAGAACAAAGATCAGAGGGAGGTGAATGAGCCGTGAAGGTACCTAGAGCAGAGGAAACAGCATGAAGGGGCAAGTCCATGCCAAGAGGTTTGGTGCATTACAAGGAGGTCAGTGTGGCTAGAACACAGTGGGAAGGGGGAAATGGGAGGCCTGGACACAGACAAATCATGTTAGATCTGCTAGAGTGCTGGCACGCCTCGGCTTTCTACAGAGAGTGTTGGGAGCCATGAGGTGTCTGAGCACAGACAGGACAGAGCTGGACTGAGGTTTTAACAGGGTCCTGTGGCCCCTGGCTGGCAGATGAACTGTAGAGGGGCAGGATGACCAGGCAGGAGGCGCCTGCTCCCAACCAGGTAAGCCAGGATGGTGGCTGCAATCCCGCTGGGAGCTGTGGAAGACACAACATTTGGGGTTTCTTCCAAAGGTGATGTTAACAGTATTTGCCAATGGACTGGGTGTGGGACGTTAAAGAAAGAGGAGTGAATGGTGAGGCCAGCGTTGACTGATAGAGTAAGAAAGCACTTCATAAAATGCTGCAAAAACTTCTTACAACATGCCTTGTTCCCTTTCCCTGCAGGACATCTCAGTTGTATCTCTTCTCATTAACAGTTTCCTCTTTCATCTGTAGAGGCAATGCTGTTCTTTGCAAACTTCCTGCCTTTCATCTGAGCTTCCCGTCACCCTCTTCCTCTGGCTCAATAGCTCACAACTCAAACCCACCCCAAACCAGAATCTCAACCCAGGTCTGTGTGACTTGGCACCAACCAACCTCTCAGCTCATCTCCTACCTTGTCCCACCAGCCATGCTCACCTTTGCTCAGTTCCCCAAATTCTTTCTGGTCTCGAGAACTTTGCATGTCACTGCAAAGATTTTAGGACTTGCCAGCCTCCCGAATTGCATGAACCAATTCCTTATGACAAATTTTTTATCTATATGTATCCATCCTATTGGTTCTGCTTCTCTGGATAACTCTGATAAATACAAACACCTTCTATACATTAGACACTATTCTAGGCACTGCGGATTCAAGACACACAAAATTCCCCATCTTCACAGAGCTAATAACCTGGAGAGTTGAGGGTAAGGGATACAATATCAAAAATAGGGTAGTCACTGAGATGACTCATGAGCTGAAACATAAAGAAGATGAGGGAGAGAGCCAAGTGTAGGGCAAGAGCATCCCAAGCAGAGGACATAGCTCATGCAAAGGCCCTGGGGCAGGACTGGGCCTGAGGTATTAGAGGAACAGCAAGGAGGGGTGTGTGGTCAGAACAAAGAGAGCAAGGCAAAG